GAAAAGAGAGGAGGTTATGTTTGTCGGGCGTAGCAATGGCGAGCCCAACGAAGACCTTCTCCAATGCGTCCACCCACTTGATGGTCTGACGTGGAGTCTCAGATCCATTGATGATTTGGACCTTGAAGGTGTACTTGGCGCTGTAGCATCTGTGGAACAGTGCGAAGTTTGTAGGTGGTAGAGCGAGAATCTCGATTTCGCATTCATCGTCGAGGTCGATGAGAGGAAGGATTGGTTTGTCGCGCAGCTTAGACTCGAAGCTGGTGTATGCGTTTTTGGCAATCTTCATGGTGAGGAATAGGTTGAGGGTAGCTGAAAGCTATTTGTGTTTGTTAACAAAATGCACTACGCTAAAAGCTAGTGTAAGATCTTTCGAGTGTTTTGAGTTTGAGAGAATGAAAGTTATGAGAGGATTAGAAAGCTTGAAAACTAATCAACGAGAGAGATCCACAATCAAAGGATCGTAGATCTGAATCCCCGCGGGAGACTGTAAATGTGATAGAGTAGGTTGCGGTGGCAATCCTACTCACTCCACGATCCAAAAACGGAACGCGTGGAAGATTTGTCTGCATTTATCTAGTAGCGTGGAAGTATCCACGCTGGCTAAATATCTAGAGCGATGTTTCATCATCAACCTAGTATGCTAGAGCGGTCATTGAGAACCTGTCTCAATGACTATTCACGAGAGCTCAGTCATGAACGAAAAAAGATCGAGTCGCGAATAGGCTAGAGCCGTGTATTGCATTTGGGCTCCTTCTTCCCGCGCTCTTTGATCTTGGGTTGTTGTTCCTGGCGAGTTCGAATGCTCTCTTCTGCTGTGGATTTCGATTCTGACTCTGGCAGCCATCTCTCCATTTTGTGTTGTTGTTGCTGCAGCATCTGCTGCTGTTGCTGCTGCTGGTGGTGGTGGTTGCTCCATTGCGCTTTTTTCGCTGAGCGAGGAGCGAGTAATGGTAATGACTGTCGAGCGTCCAGCGCCATTGTCCTCTATCTTCAACGGAATCGGAGATTCGATCTTCTAGAAACACGAAATTTCGGACTTGATAGCACATTTCTCTGTAATCTCTATAAATGGTACGTTAAATAATTCAAATTACTTCCTGACGTATTTGTTGTTCTTCGGTACTCATCGACCAATCAAATTTCTGCCTTCCACCCCTTTTCGGCCTCTAGGAAACACACCACTATGGTGCACGTGCAAGTCATAAGCTTTGAATTCGCTCATGGACACTGAAGAAAGTGAAAAAAGACCATGGGAACATCTCTCCCCCCATCCCCCATCGTCGTTCCGGCCAGCCATGTCAATCAGACGTCCCATGGACATGCAACATGAGGCACACAGACACAAAAGACACAAAGCCGCTGCAGACTTGACTAGTCGCATCCATAGCAAGCAGAACAAACAGTGTTGTTGTTAGACCTACGCACCCAGCTTGGCTGACTTCATCTCGTGGGCTGCACTTTGGGTGCTTGCCACCAGCAAGTGGCCACAGGGGGATGTGGAAACGGACAATGCTCAACTTGGCCTTCACCATTGTGAACCTTGCTTGGGTGGTCATGATGCTATCATCTTTACTGCTACCTAGTCCTTCTCCTTCCCTCATCATGTCACGCATGATGCACATAAATTGCATGTCAATCCCATGGCAGGCAGGCAGCAATTCATTTTGATCTCCCTAGCTAACTAGATGGCAGAGAAAGAAACTAGAAGAGAGTACAGAGTATGGAACTTTACGTATGAAATTAATAAAACTATGCCTTCTTGTCCTGACATTCTGCATGAGCACATTCATTCGTCTTGGAGTTGTGAAACCTCCAGAGATAGTCCTTCACTAGCTGTTCACCCTTGCCCTCCCACTCCCTTCTGTTTGCCTGAGCATAACTCAAATACTCATGGCTTGAAACCCCAAAGACTCCACATGTCTCAAGCTTCTTCGCAAGAGGAATGATGTAGTAGTCAAAGAATCCCAATTCTCCCTGATACCAACCCTTGGATGGATCCCGGTCACTGCGGCCATCCACAAAGGCCTGGTACATCTCGTTGAACAGACGCTCATTCCACTTTCGGAAAACAACCCAGTGCTGCATTGTGTGAGACACATCGGAAGCTTGCATGAGATGCTCCAGGACAATGGTGGCCTTCCTGTTGATGGCCAGAGGATCACGGGCCATCTCTTCACAGTCTTCCGCAAAGGCCTTTTCCCACCTGGCCTTTCTCTGAGCGCCCAAGTCCTTGTCAATAATGTCAGTTGCCATCACCACATTCACAATGATGGACCTGAACCTGGTCATCTCATCCTTGGTGCCACAGATGCAGGTTTGCAAATCCTTGTACTCTTGGCTCATGATAATCTCCCACGCCAGGTCCACTGAGTTCTGCTCTGCCACACTTTTGTTCTTGTATTTGGAAGCTAGAGGATGCTCCTCCTTCACCAAAGTGGAGTTGGGAACGCCAGGATGGTCTGCAAACAACAAAATATACATTTGGTTGTGAGTGTGTACATGCAAATGACATTGTGTGGGTGCAACAGGATCAGCCAGCATCACAATTGTAGGGACTTACCAGCATCATGAATCAGGGCTGAAATGATACATGCAAACTGGGTCAGAGGATCGGAAGTTATGCCAAAAGTGTGGTCATGCAGCTCAGAAGCAATTTGATCATTGGTGCCCTCTCTTGTGGACACCTCAATGGGGTTGACAATGCGGCTTAGTAGCTTGACAACACTCATAGTAACATGGCTGGCATGTTCAAAGGAATGAAATGGATTGTCTTGGTAGAGTGAAGCAATCCTGGATACCATGTCAGTGAGCTGCTCCACAACCGTGTCTGGTATCTCGATAGTGTTGGGGTCTACGTGATTCTGGTAGGTCTTGGCGTCAAACTGGGGCAAGGCCAGAACATCAGCAACTTCATCAAGGACTGTTCCATTGAGCTTTGTGATTTTCTTGGAAGCTCTCTTGGAGATCTCCTTGGGACTTTCCAATGAGGCTCTCCTTGCCATGATGAGTCTCAGGATCTTGATCAAGATCTCCACATTCCATTTCACCAGACGTTGTTTCTTGACTGACAACAGATCAAAGTTTGTATCTGGTGTTTCCTCGAAAACTTCTTCAAATGCTGGGCCAAGCGCTAGGGCCTTCTTCCTGGCAATTTCTGCCTGTGTTTGCTCTGCATCCAGGCTGGTAGTACTGATGTTGCTTTTCTTGGAACCTGTGTTGCAGGATTCAGCTTGGATTCGAAGCCAGTAAGTCTGGAGGGTTCCTTTTCCTTTTGCAAAGACTTCGTCATCTCTTTGGGTGACCCACTTATCTTTGCCAGAGGCTACCAGAATCTCTGCAGTATCTCTGGATATGTGGATTCTTCCAGGACACCCAGTAGATTCCAGACGACTGGCAGTGTTCATGGTATCACCAAACAGCTGGAAGCGACCTTTGTCACCACGCAGAACTCCTGCAGTGACTGGTCCACTGTGAAGCCCGACACGCATATCCAAGTCAGCGGTATCAGGGCCCAGAGTAGTTTCCAGTTGATGGACCAGGCTTTTCATGCGATGAAGGCAGTCCGTGGCTACAAAGCAACAATGAAAGGTCCAGTTAGAGAGCAGTTTCGTTGTAGCAGGTTCTGGGCTGTCGCAACATGTTGTAAGCACTTACCAAACTTGGCCATGACAACAGCGTGTTCTTTTCTGGGCATGGGGAGTCCGGCAACGGCTTCGGAGAAGAAGAACAACGATCAGAACGTTAGATTAATCACCTTTGAAGCGCAACACATCGACTCTGGTGGTTCATTTGATCAAAACTCACCAACATAACAATCTCCCACGGTCTCCACTAAGAAACAAGGGACAGAGAAAGGACAAGGCATCAGACGCGCGAAATAAAAGAGAACCACAACTTTCAAGCCAACGAAACACGAACCTTTGAAAACCCTCCTTCGCTTTGCCACTACATCAAAGCTGTGGTAGACCGTCTCAAGGAGGGAGAAGACCTGAGCCGGTTCACGTACAGAGCTCCCTGTAATCGACAGCATCGACGTGAGTCAACAAGCCGACGGATAATACCCACGACCTTCCATTACAAAGTCAAACTTACACGCCGTAAACCCGACCATGTCGGCAAACATAATTGTGGTAGCAGGGAACAAGTCTGCAATAGGTTTCGATCCAAAGATGCGTTCACTCGAAATGTCGTTGTCTTCCTTGGCTGCACCGCCCACCGTAAAGGCATTGGAAGGATCGGCCCACGAGCCACGTTTCTTGGAATTTGTGGCGCGCACTGGAGTCTCTGGACCGGACTCGTTGTTGATATCTTGGAGGAGTCGATCTCGTACGTTTTCGGGGAAGAGGGAAGTTACGATTGCATTTGTTTTCTTGGCGGATGCCATGACCTTGTCTTGTCGTTTTTGGACGAGCATGTCATAGAGCATAAAGACAGCGGCCGTGATTAGGAAGCAGCCCACAACCCCCAAGGCATACGCAATGGGCTCATTGGAGAAGAACTTGCTTCTCCAATGTGGGGAAGGATATATGGTGGCGTAATAGTGACAAAACCCGTGTTCGCCAACCTCGCGCTCCAACGCCGAAAAGGGCGCAAACTCGAATCGTTCGTAGAGCTGCCCACCTTCGTCCACAGTGGTGTCGTGGACATCGCCTTCTCCCAGATAGACTGACTTGTGCCCAAAGATCTCGTAGGTGAAGGTTTGTCCACAAGTGCTCTCCAACACGACGTAAATGTCTTGCTCGTGGTCTGGGAGGACATCGGTGAAGAAGACACCCCACCGCATAAAGGCAGAAAGATAGGCCACCATAGTGCGATTCTCAGTGAGAGTGTCATAGACAGGCTCCAGAATGTAGCTGTGCGGTTCAGCCTGTTCGGCAGGGTCGAACCTGGATTCATAGTTGGTATCCAAATAGGTGGCATCGGTGACTTGTGTAATCACAGCATGTTCCGTGTCAATCATGCCATCGATAAAGCGCTGAAAGACGGGATCGCTGCGGAGGTCTAGATTGATCTGAGGCTGATAGTCACAGGGAGGAGCACGCTGCCAGATGGGTGTGTAGAGAAGGGATTCTTCCACCGGATAGCGTGCCGTGTAGTTGGTGTCCGCCTTGCCCCCATCCGTGTACCAAATGTAGGGTGTGATGCCCACCTTGGTCCAATGAAAGTCGGGGTTATGGTGGGCATCGGATGTATTGTGATGGTCCAACACATAGAGCTCTTCGTGGACTTGCTTGTCGTAGACATGAGCTTCGGCCATCCAGTCACTCTTGTACTGTGTGAATCGCCCCCAAACTTCGAGTTGCTTTGGATACACAAAGGGATTGACAGACAGAGTGTGGGCCCCAGTTTCTTCATTGGACAGGATTCCCCGGACTTGGAAATCGGGAAAGGCCACAAAGGGCCAGGTCATGTTCTGATCTTGAGCGTAGGAGGTCATGGAGACCCCAAAGTTCTCCAGGTTGTTGAAGACGTGGACTGTCTTGACCTGGGCAAACTCGGCAATCTCATTGGCAATGGCATGGAACTGCGCCAACACAAGCAAGGCACGATACAAGAGAGGTGAGTGAACCGCGCCAAGCTCCTACAGTGTGACGCAGCTATTTACTGGCAGTACCAGAACAAGTGGGGGGCACTTACGCGAGCGTGATATTCGGCGTCCTCTGAGGAGCGGACAACGTAGTAGGTCACGCAGCCCATGGCGACCGCAAGCAAGGCCACCACGGCCAACAACATCGTTTTGGATCTCCGAATCATGCGAGTCTCGCTCCTCGCCAAGGAAAAGGAGGACGAGGACTCCGGTGGCCCATCGTTGCTGCCCGTGGTACTGGCCCTCCAGTGCGACGATTGGTCCCCCACGGCCTCGTCCTCCTCTTCCGAGGCATGCTCCGATAGACGGTCCATGTAGGTCGCCGACTGCTTCGACAGCGCGGAGCTCTTTTGGAAATACTTCATCGTAGTAACAAATTAAATAATAATAGAACTCTACTATGATCCTGTCGTCTTTTCTTTCTTTGGGATAGACTGCGATGCGGAAGCTTGTTGTGTGTTTTACTTTAAAAAGTATGTGTGGTCGTTGTTCGAGCTGCGTTCACCATTCACTATGTGAACCACTGCAGAACTTCGCTACCTTCTTTCCGGCCTCGAAACTGGCACTCGCTTCGAAGCATATCGGTACTAGCTACGGTAGCTACCGTCGTACCGGTAGATGCCTCAAGGAAGCAAGGAATCGAATCGCAGAGCCTACGCGCTTCCAGCTTCTGCGCAGTTCAATTCCATAGTGCTGCCACCTGTAATAAGTATCGTATCACCTTTCGGCTTATTTATTTATGACCACCGAGCTGGGGCAATTCGCGTTGGACTCTCGAGTACGCACGAAAGTGTTAGGTGACGATAACGGTCATTGTCAGTACAGCTGAGCAAGAGTTCGGATTTGTGAACCGGAAGGCTTGAACCAAGAGGCCTACTAGCTACACAATGTTCGACAGTGACTTCTCTACGGAGCAGTGATAGTTTCACATTTACTTAGGCTTACTTGCAGCAGCAAGTTCTATCTTGATTGCAGACCTAGACTGAAACTTGGGGACATTTAGTTTGTGAGTCATGACTCGACTCATGAGAGCAGGTTAATCCATGCTTTCAGAATAACGTACGTATCACAGGCTGCTTGAGTGTGGAGCTTCACTGGAAGACAGTTTTGAGTACAGGTAGATGTGGTAATAAACACGTTTCATACAAATATGTAGAGTGAAATATGCCTTTAACCCTATATTTACCCGAACTACCCTTATAAAACAGTCATCCTGGGTAATGTGGCCACCGTACGTGGTATAATAGTAAAGCCTCCTTGCAGGCCAGGCCGTCTTACGAGGAATGAAGAATTTAAATCCTCTACGTTCTTGGTTTGACCATTGATAAGTATATAGGAGTTCTCATCCTCCTCGATATTTAATAGAAAGCAAAGCAGCGACCACTATTGTTAGAGGAAATCACACGAGCGACCACTATCCCTTAATAATCAAATTTCACAATAACCCTTTTACCCCTTTTATCAACTGTGACAGGTCTTTTAAATCTTGGGCTTCCTTTTTTTGTATAAGAGAGAGGGGCAACTGCCCAACTGCACCCAGCTCCCAGCTCATCAAATGGTGCGGCAAAAATCAATCGATGCGTTATTACAATCACAATGCCAACATGCATGGATACCATTGGTACCAAAACTTCAAAGCATTCTCATTTGCATCTTGATCGGACATCGGTTTTGGTGGTGAGGCCTCAGCATAGTCTGCACCTCCATTCTTTGCTAGCTAGCTCCTGATCTACTGATCTCCAATAACGTGCCGTAACCATGCGATGCGAGAACCTCGTTTAGGAGATTGCTCTCGAATTGACGAATTGACAAGGGCCCCTTTTTTGCACCATTGTTCCATGTTATGTTCATTGAGGCTGCTGACTACCGGTATTAGCTGTTGTTTCGTCGTTTCTGGCTGGCAAGCTACCGTACCGACCGTACCAGTAGTTGGGTGGTCATCGGTTCGTGTTCAGTCCCATTGAAGAAGTGAAAAGCAACAATATCAAGACTTTCCGTCGACTACCCAAATGGTATCCAATTACAGCAGCTGGTATTTCTCTCTCCAGACAGCTTCTTTCAGGTGCCCCTCTCTACTAGCTAGCTAGAGAATAGCTATAGCTAGTACTCGAGCAGGCGCAGGGAGTACATGTACCACAGCTGGTTTTGGGAAGAGTCGCATCTGTTGTTGTTAGCACTGCTTGAAAGCCGAAATGCCCCTCAATGGGCCATCCCGTACCGTACGCACATTGGGACGCTCCAATCCAACCAAATCCAGTCATGAACACACCTTTAGCCATCATCTTGGTCATTGAAGAGCAATTATTGATAAAAAAAGCCACCAGACCGAAAGCTGTTGGTTCTTTTTCTCGTCGCTGCTCGTCTTCAAACCGCCCCAACATTCAACAGTCACCCTTCTCCGCCCAACGGAACGTCCCAGTTTGGCTGCGTGGCTGCACGTTTCTTTCTTGTTGTTGTTTTGGCTGGCCAGCGAATGGCCCCGTAGCAGCAACCAGCATCTCAAGGATGGCTGAGTGACAAGCAAGTAACGATCAACGCAAGGAATGGTGGTGGTTGTTTGTTCTAAGTAGCTGGCTGAAAGGCGTCTTTACGATGGTGCTGAAAGGAGCCAGCGGATTTATCGCCTCAGTTGCCTTGTGATGGCCTTGTGATGGAAACAATCCTTCCATAGCAAAACAGACGTTTTTCTTGGTTGGTACCAGTACGGTAGCAGTCATCCTGCAACTCAGTTCTTGGCTGACAACGAGCAACTCAACGAATGGTGGTTCTTGTCGCGTACCGTAGTCGCTGAAACTTCATGGTGCTGAATGCTGGATGACATCAGCGGATTTATCGCCTAAGTTTGCCTTGTGGTGGAAACATTCCATAGCTAGTAAACAGAATCTTCTTTTCTTGGTTGGTATCAGCCTTCCTCAACTCAGTTTGCCCTTGCCCAAAAGCTGCCGCAACAAACCTGTTCACCATTTGGTCGTCAGCCAAGGCTGCAATTCACCTCTTTCGCCGATTGGTCCACAATCCGACAACCGCTGCAGCCTACCCGTACCGGTACACTCGACTGAATCAACATGTCATCCAACGCAAGAAACAGCACACACTCGCTCTGGGTTGCTTCAACACCTCAACCAGTCAGCAATGGAACACCCTCTTGTTGCGCATTGCTTCGCTGACATATAGTCGCTTGAAGCAAGCAAGCTGTCAAGGGGCACCTTCTTTTGCCTGACAACAACAAAAAGTCGTGTTTTCTTTGCTGTACTTTTCGGTGTGGACCGTGGACCGTTCCTTATTTCTTTCTTCTTTCGAGTGGAGGTTGAACTGCAGAGAAGAATGAAACTTACTTGCAACTATGCCATCCCGTCATGTCAGGTCAAGGATGCGGGACACCATTGGGTTGCATTGCTGTGCCTGTATTTCCAGGCAGGTTGTATGGTATTGTTGATTCTTTCGGTGGAGTTGAACCTTTCTTCAGCAACTTCCAAGTAGCAAGTAGACCAAGTCACTGGCCATGGACGACTTTGGGCTTCATTAAAATTAAATTTGGTGGCAGTTTCAGAAGTGACGACAGGTGACCAAACCAGCTCACAAAACAACTGCCCAGCAACAGATTGAGACCGCCATTCTGGACGGCTTCCCTGGACGATCAACGGATAGCTAGCAGCACACTCTACTAGACTCAGTCTCCAACACACTATAGGGTACGTGATCGCCTTGCACCGCTCCCGTGATGGCAATGCTATTCCCGTGTTCCTCAAAGCCCAGCCAGTAAGGGCATTCTCTAGTAGTTTTCGTTCTAAAACTCGTCCTGAGCTACTCGTCCTAAACTTAGGACGAGTTTTTAGGACGAATTGGCAATCTCTAAAAAAGTCGTTCTAAAACCAGACTTAAGATAGAACGAGTTTTAGGACGGACGAGTTCAGTCTCTAAAAAGCTGGTCTTAAAACTCGTCCCGCATGCACCTCTCCTCTGTCAGCCTGTTAACATGGTCCTGATAGTGTGGCTAGGAGCTTCCCACGAAGCACCTCTGTGGTCTGTGGTGCAGTACAATACTAATTTCTGTTTGAGTTTGTTATCTACTAGCTACCAGGTAGCTACTCCTACCGTACGGTCGAGTGGTTCAGTCAATCGTGTTAACTTGATGGTGGATGATGTCATTCAACGTCATACGGTATGACTCAAAGATTTAAAGAAAACAATAGGACGAGTGTTAGGACGAGCCGAAATAATTCGTCCTATTGCTCAGGAATAGGACGGAGGAAAAAAATTCGTCCTAAAAATAGAACGAATTTTAGGACAATTTTGAGTTAAAGATTGCTTTTGTCCAAAATTTTCGTTCTAAAATAAACTTAGAACGAGTTTTAGGACGAACGAATCTACTAGAGAATGCCCTAAGAGCTGCCTGTTATGGCAGGCATGGTGAATACCCTGCAACAGCCAGCGGAAGTGTTTCGGCAAGACCCGTCAGCGCAAAGGTTCACCAGTATCAAATCATGATAACTGGCTGCTGGTAGCAAACTAGAGCAAGCAACACCACACAGAATACAAGGTTTGTAGAAAATATGAAGTATAGATATTTTAGAAGTACAACTATCAGCCACGTCCGAACAGAATGGGCTTCCCAGTCCCAGGGGCTCCTAGCACCATAATTCATTGTTAAGCTTCTCGCTCCCATCTAGCCCCACAAGAACTGTTGGTTCCTCCTCATGCTGTTCCGGAGCATCATCCAAGAGATCAAATTGATTGCTCAAATCAAATCCCTGTTGTTCTGCTGAAGGAACAGACACAACCTCGGGTGCCTTATGAAGGCTATCCGGCAACTTCTTTCGAATGGATGCACTCTTCACACTGCCATCGAGAGCCTTCTTGGAATTGTGAAACCTCCACAGATAGTCCTTCACTAGCTGTTCACCCTTGGCCTCCCACTCCCTTCTGTTTGCCTGAGCATAACTCAAATATTCATGGCTTGAAACCCCAAAGACTCCACATGTCTCAAGCTTCTTTGCAAGAGGAATGATGTAGTAGTCAAAGAATCCCAATTCTCCCTGATACCAACCCTTGGATGGATCCCGGTCACTGCGGCCGTCCACAAAGGCCTGGTACATCTCATTGAACAGACGCTCATTCCACTTTCGGAAAACAACCCAGTGCTGCATTGTGTGGGACACATCTGAAGCTTGCATGAGATGCTCCAGGACAATGGTGGCCTTCCTGTTGATGGCCAGAGGATCACGGGCCTTCTCTTCACAGTCTTCCGCAAAGGCCTTTTCCCACCTGGCCTTTCTCTGAGCGCCCAAGTCCTTGTCAATAATGTCAGTTGCCATCACCACATTCACAATGATGGACCTGAACCTGGTCATCTCATCCTTGGTGCCACAGATGCAGGTCTGCAGATCCTTGTACTCCTGGCTCATGATAATCTCCCACGCCAGGTCCACTGAATTCTGCTCCGCCACACTTTTGTTCTTGTATTTGGAAGCTAGAGGATGCTCCTCCTTCACCAGAGTGGAGTTGGGAACTCCAGGATGGTCTGCAAAGAGGAAAGGGTGGTGGATTTGAGTCAAACAGAATCTGATATTCGCTACGCTGGACAACATCACAAGTAATCGAGGCACTTACCAGCATCATGAATCAAGGCTGAAATGATACATGCGAACTGGGTCAGAGGATCGGAAGTTATGCCAAAAGTGTGGTCATGCAGCTCAGAAGCAATTTGGTCATTAGTGCCCTCTCTTGTGGACACCTCAATGGGGTTGACAATGCGGCTTAGTAGCTTGACAACACTCATAGTAACATGGCTGGCATGTTCAAAGGAATGAAATGGGTTGTCTTGGTAGAGTGCAGCAACCCTGGAAACCATGTCAGTGAGCTGCTTCATAACTGTCTCTGGGATCATGATACTGCTGGGGTCTACGTGATTCTGGTAGGTCTTGGCATCAAACTGGGGCAAGGCCAGAACATCTGCAACTTCATCAAGGACTGTTCCATTGAGCTCTGTGATTTTCTTGGAAGCTTTCTTGGAGATCTCCTTCGGGTTTTCCAATGAGGCTCTCCTTGCCATGATCTGCCTCAGAATCTTAGCAAGAATCTCAACGTTCCAGCTGACAAGGCGCTGCTGTTTCTTGGGAAGCATGTCAAGTGCTGTTCCCGACGTCGCTGTTGGTGACCCTTCCTTGGGGCCTAGTACAAGGTCCACAACCGCGTTTTTGGTGTCACTCGCACCACTACTGACACTCGTTACATTGGAGTTGGAGTAAGTTCCGGTGCCCCCAGTGCCACTAGAATCTTCATTGATGCGGACCCAATATGTCTGGAGTGTCCCTTTTCCTTTTGCAAACACTTCATCCTCCCGTTGAGTGATCCATTTCTCCTTGCCATTTGCTACCAGAATTTCTGCAGTATCTCTGGATATGTGGATTCTTCCAGCAGACCCTGTAGATTCCAGACGACTGGCTGTGTTCATGGTATCACCAAACAGTTGGAAGCGACCTTTGTCGCCGCGGAGGACCCCTGCAGTCACTGGACCACTGTGGAGCCCAATGCGCATGTTCAACTCTGCTGTGTCCGGACCCAATGATGTTTCTAATTGCTGGACAAGCCGTTTCATTTTGTGGAGGCAGTCACTCGCTAGTAGGGACAGAGAGATTGTGTTAGTGTCGTATATCTGGCGATTCGTGCAAACTCAACCGCGCGCACTTACCAAACTTGGCCATGACTACAGCATGCTCTTTTCGTGGAAGGGGTAAGCCACAGACCGCAACGTAGCTGGAAGCATTACGGGAGAGAACGTGTAAGGGACAAGAAAGCAGGGTTGGTTCATGAAAAGCCAGCTAGACCTACCAATCTCCCACCGTTTCAACTGAAAAGGACGGAAAGGAAAGATACATCGTCGTTAGCCGCAGCTCAAGCCTGCTGGCGTTCTTCTCTAAAAAACCGCAAGATCGACTTACCTTTGAAGACTCGACGACGCTTCGCGATGGTGTCGAAACTATGATACACAGTTTCCAGTAGAGAGAAGACTTGGGATGGATCCCGTACAGAACTCCCTACAGAGCCACAAAACAAAACAGCACCATGAGATTTTGAAAACGCTGACTCGCTCAAACCAATGCATCCCCGACACTGTATACTTACAAGCTGTGAATCCCACCATGTCCCCAAACATGATGGTTGTCGCGGGGAAGAGATCCGCAATCGGTTTCGATCCAAAGATTGCCTCACTGGAGCACGCCGGTGCCTTGTTGGCCATATCGGAGTTTCGCTGCTGTTGCATAAACGCCATGGACGGATCCGACCACGAGACGCGCGACTTTGGATTTCCTTCGTCATCCTTGTCGTCGCCCTTCTTGCTGTCGTTTTCAATGCCCTCGAGGAGGCGGTCCCGGACATTGGCCGGGAACAACGAGTTGACAATGGCATTGGTTCTCTTGGCAGACTTCATGACCTTTTTCTGTCGGTTCTGTACAAGACAGTCGTACATCATAAAGACAATGGTGGTCACTACAAAACACAAGACGACTCCAGAAGCGTAGGCATAGGGCCGACTGGTAAAGAACTGACTCCGCCATTGCTCCGATGGGAAGATGTGGGCATAGTAATGGCAAAACTTGTGTATCGAGTCCTTCTCGAGTGCCGTCTCGGGGGAGAACTCAAAGGTCACTTCGAGGTGGTCCTTGTCGAGACGCTTCTCGTGATTGTCTCCATTCCCCATAAAGACGGCCTTGTGTCCAAAGATCTCATAGGTAAACTCTTGATCGCAAGTGGACTCGAGGACCACATAGATTCCCTGCTGGGAGCTTGGGAGGACATCGGTGAAAAAGGATCCCCACCTAAGAAAGGAAGCCAGGACTGCCACAATGGTTCGGTTGTGGGTGAGATTATCATAGATGGGCTCCAACAGATAACTGTGTGGTTCCGCCTGTTCTTTGGGATCAAATCTGTGCTCGTAGTTGGAGTCGAGATAGGCAGCATCAACGACGGGACTAATGACGGGATGATCAACCGCCAGCATGCCATTGATGAAACGTTCAAAATTGGGATCGCTGTGTAGATCGTAATTGACCAAGGGATGGTAGTCGGATGCCGGTGCCCGTTGCCAGATGGGACTGTAGACAATGTTCTCCTCCACTGGCATGCGTACATGATCGGCATCTCCCTTTTCTCCTTCGTTGGTGGTCCACACGTACGGCGTAATGCCGGTAATATTCCAGCGCAAGGACTGGTCGTGAGTGTCCTCTGTGTCGTGGTGTTCCATGACGTAGAGCTCGGGGTGGGCAATGCTGTCGTAGCGATGCGCCGATTGCATCCAGGCGTCGGCATGGGCGGCCGAATAGGCCGACCAGTTTTCCAGCTGCCCAGGGAAGACGAGAGGGTTGATGGAGGTAGTATGAGCGCCGGTGTCTTCGTTGGACAGCATGCCCTTGACTTGGAAGTCCGGGATTGTGACAAACGGCCATTCTTGATTGGACGCGGCAGCTGTGGAAGTAATGTGGACACAGAGTGATTCCATATTGTCAATCACGTATTTGGCCTTGAGCTGGGAATACTCTTTTACTTCTTCGGCAATGGCGTAGAACTGAATGGAGCAAAGGCAAGGCAAGGCAAGGCAAGACACGGGTTGGTTCATCATCTAGCTAGCAGTCGGTTGCTTACAGCTTTCTCAGAAAGAGGAATCACTTTACGTACCGTGGTGTGATAGTCATCGTCTTCTTGTTTTTGTACCAACTGGTAGGTGAGCAACGCCATGGTGGCCGTCACGACCACAATCACTACACAGACCATGACCTTGGAGTATCTGATCATGGAGGATTCCTTCTTGGCCAACTCGAAGGTATCACTGCTTTCCTCTTCTTCTTGCGGAGAGACGCCTGTGCTGGACGGACCACCAGAGTCCATTTCATCTTCAAAGGCTTCATCGTCGTACTCGGCAGACTCTTCCAGTACCGGCTTCATCACCTGATCCACCGCGGGCGATTGCTTCTTCTTGAGCAGAGACTTCATGGTGCGGTTCAGTTCAGAGTTCAGTTGGGTTCGAGTTGATTGAGATTGATGGGATGATACTAGTACTTGTACAAATAATATGATATAAATGAGTTGTGATGATGACAGTGTCCTTTCTCGAAGTGGGACAAGAGAGGAGAGAGGAAGCCTTCAGTCGATTCTTGCTGTCCAAAAGCAGATGGGGTTTGGAAGATGGCGAGGGTGCTTTATGGTGAAATGGAAGGCTGACAAGCAAAGGCACCGCATCACTCCAGAGGAAGCCTTCTTCTCCACAATGGATCGATTGGGAGCAGTACCGTATGGCTAGCTAGCTAGCTAGAGTGGAGCAGCACGCTGTGCAGGAAACCCAGTCAAGCCGGTTGCTCGCAAAGTATTTATTTTGACCACTCAAAAAAACGCTTTAAGAATCTACAAAGAAGTGACCCAAAGCAACTCAAGACATATAATTATTTCCTCCACCTCCCTCGTAACTTTACTTTCATTGTTGCATTTTCTTGACCATTTCTAGCTGATTTATACGCTACCGGTACAATCTCTTTCCTTCTTCTACCGGTACCAACTTGAAAACGAATGATTTACTGAGTTTTCAGCCTTATTTGCCACTTATTTACCATTGTTACCACCTTTTTATCCCACATAATCCCCACAACGGCCTTTCTGGGCCAATTGCAGCAATTAAGGATCACAACAAGACCAGTTCAGGTGGCTGGGGATAGTTTAGAAAGAGGCCGACAACTTCTACGGAGTAACAGGTTACGCAGCTGTCGCGCCAATTTCTCTGAACGCGTCATACTTGAATAAAGGCAAAGTATCAAGTGGACAAGTGCGTTTTAGCTTCAATAATGTTGACAAAGTCTCTTACCGGTGGTCATCTCGATGGTCAAACTTAGGGGCGTGATTGGAGCAATGTGCGAACGATTTCGGGGTTCTTTTGAAATAGTCTTAAAATATGCTCCGCTACAGTAACAGTGTGTGTTGATTGTTCAGATAAGAACCGGCTTTTAATACCTCAAGCTGTCTTTTATCTTCTTTCGGTGGCTTTTGGCTGGACAGCTGGTCTTAAACTCGATTATTGGATTCACCTGCTGCTTCCGATTCCTTTCCCCGAAGAATGATCAAAGACAGAATGGCAAAATGGGACTGTTCTCGGAGAAAGATGCAGGCTTCATGCTCCCACCCTTATGTTTAAGATAACAAAGATCAATGCCTGTACTCTAGCGAGTATTGCAGGTTGAGTGTGCATAGCTTAATCTTGTGTGAAAGGAGGGAGGAGTGAAGTCCATCGCAAAGCCAGTGACATCTTACAGCTTCGACATCTTGGATGAAAAGACAGAAGACAGTTCCTAATACGTTCCTGCATACCTGGAAAACGGCGGTATCAAAGCTGCGAGATGCTCCTGTGATACAGCTATGCAGTAAAGCGTTAAGTTGCGGTGAAACAAAGAAGTGCGTACTTTAGCTGTACTTTGATTGGCAGATGTTCTTCTCCCCGAACTTCTGGCAATAAAGGCTTAATTATTAATAATTGCTTTGTATAATAAACTTATTCTTGGCGCTCTGCCCCTGCCCCCTCCAGTACTGTACCCCAAATAAGTTTCTTTAAGCCATTTGAATTAATGCCTTCGGTGCTAAGTCTTTTCACTGGCCACCTCCTTCCGATCTTCCCTGACGAATCTAGGAACACTCAAAAATCTATCAGTACTTGCAAGACTGGTACCGGTACTTGCTACTTGCTACATTACTACTGGTCCGCTATCAGCAGAAGAAGTGCAGTTTTGTTGATCGCGGATGGGCTGATGATGCCAACATGCCAACTTGTTGCCTTGATGGCCACGGCCAGAAAATGACTGAGGCTTCAGTAGACTTACTTGGAACTTGGAACCATGAGTTCTTGTAGTCTAGCTAGTGGCGCGGTTGTAGTTGTTGCTAAAGGCTAAAGAGATGTCAGTTGTCTGGTTTGGAAACTGGGATGTTTGGATGTTTCAGTCACTGATTTTTGGTTGTTGCCGAGCAGTGAAGAAGGAATGCGAGCAGGACTTACAGGCATGTCTACCATGGGTGCAAGATCCAAGGGAGTTTTGCAAGTTCTCGGGCTTGTACTCTGACTTCTGAGTACATGTAGTAGCTAAACTTAACATATATATTGTGGTTGTCCTGGTTGCCTGCTTTGCAACTGGTGCCAACCGGTGCTACTGTCTAGTAGCTAGTAGCTAGACTGAGTCTAGCTAGCTAGTGGTACAATTATTTTTGATTCGATTTATTTGATTCAATCATTCAATCAAGGAGCGAGGATTCACAGCCACAAGGAGCGGGGAACATGGCCGAGTGGCCACAAAGAAACAGGTCTGGGGTTGATCTTGGATTTGTCGCCTTTTCATTCCATTCTATTTTATTAGCTAGCAGAGACTCTATCTACTCAGGTGTACTCGGAGGAATCTTTTCATCTCCCAGTTCTTTCTTGGTTTCTGGATGGAGTGAGGCTCTGTTCTCTGGAGGCTTCACCTGTTTCCCGCTCATACAGCGTAGCAGTATCGTCCGACGCCCTAAATCATTTCAACTGGAACCTAGCAACTCGAGAGCTCAGCCTCAGTGGAGATAATTGAGTGGAGTAGCTACTGTACAGGAGTAACTACCGGTACAGCCGTGGGGCCGTGGGAAGAAGGAGCCTGTAATACATGTAGAATGAAATCCATACAAGGTTCCGAGTCGAGTCTCGCAGGTGGGAAAGTGCATGGGTCCGCAACGGTACCGATACCGACACCGACACCGACACCGATACCGACACCGACACCGATACCGATGCCGATGCCGATGCCGATACCGATACCGCAAGGCCGCAAGGCTGAGAGCGACTCCTTCAGCCAGGAGGCTCTGATGAAATCCCCGCAAGTTCTTTGGACATTGCGAAAACGCTACAGCCGACATGGCTGGTAGCTGGTGGCTTTCATGATATATATCTGAAGAATGAGAGAGAGATGTTATACAGTGAGAAAGAATGATTCAAGCACCACAGAGAAGCAAAGATCATCAAGTCTAGCTAGAGGACATCCTGATTCGGAGCCTTGGTTGCATGTAAGCGTGACCTTTCGCCGAACCCTTGGAGGCCTATTGGTACTGCATCGGTACCGTAGCAGCAATTATTCTATTAAAATGGTAGTCTAGCTAGACTAGCTAGCTAGCTAGCTGGTACCGTAGAAGAGCCGGAGACGGTCGACGAGACTTGGGTCGAGTCGAGTCATGGTTCGACCCCCCTGGTGTATGCCTCCCAGACGCACACCCACCCAAACCAAGGGCGACCGTCACTCAAGATTACACCACACTTCCTTGGATGGCCTCGCAAGGGTACCGGTACTACATGTAGTACATTGATGTATGTAGCACATCGGTTTTCAAGGCAGCCAGTCCACGAAGAATGATGTAGACCTATCCTAATAATAGTATTCATGTAGCTATGTAAAATGTGATCAACTCGGAGAACTTGTATGGTCGTCCCGCCGAGATGCAAATCGGAATTCACACAATGCCTCTACAGGAAATAGACCAATGCCAAGAAACACAGCATCATGACCAACAGCAACACAACAATCATGACAATTCCTTCCCATCCAATAAAAGAGTCCTCAGCAGGAGTATCCACAAAGTTGTCCTTGGCGTGACCTTCGGCTGCCAGCACCAAGTCATGATGTGGATGCCCGGTGGGAATTTCCTCATGCGCCAGATTCCCCGACGAAGCCACATATTGATGGGCCTGATTGTGATCATGGTTGGGATGCGCACAGGTTGTGGATGTATTGTAACAGAATCGATTGCAGCAACTGATTTCCAGTTGTGTGGGTGTGGCACAGCAAGGATCAAAGCGTACACTGGATCCACAGAACATGTTGGAAGTCTTGACTTGACCGTTGGATAGTTGCCAACAAAGCAGTTTAAAGTCTCCTTGGGTTGTCGATTCGGTAATGGTGGCGGGTAGAGAATTGGGTTTGGTGCCAAAGCCAGATGCATTAAAGAACATGTGCTCCATGTTCTTGGCACCGACGGGTTTCCAACTCGAAATGTCAGCGTCAAAGACGGGTGTGTTTTCAAACATGCTGTCAGTTTTTAGTTGCGCAAGGCAAAAAGGGAAAAGTCACGAGGAATGGTGAGAGGTGGGATAATCGCTGCCTCGTCCGATGGAAGATGGAAGACGTTTCGAATCCTCATGAACAAAGACCGACACACAAAAACACAAATCATCCCACTTACCCATAAAAGTTTCGCACAGTTTCCACATTCCATCCCTGAATACTACTACTTTTCTTACTGCCAGTGAATTGTCGTGCATTCTGAAACATGCGGGCCATGGTAATGACCTTGGATGTATTCCAGGCACTGAGATCGCCATCGAATGCATGAGCATCGGCAAACATGTCATCCATTTCGACCGCATTGCTTGTATCCCAGAGACTAATGTTTCCTTGAAACTTGACGGCATGTTGGAACATTCCCGTCATGTCGACAAATTCTCTAGTTTGCCAGTTGGCCAAATCTTGTCCACCCTTGTAATTGAGTGCATTGGTGAACATGTTGGCCACGTGATGGACTTTGGATGTCTTCCATCCGGACAGATCACCTTGAAAGAGAAAGGCGTCTTGGAACCTATGAAATCAGATCAGAAGCAAAAAAGTCAGTGCCACAAAGCAAAACCAAGAGTTGATGCTTCCACACACTACTACATTCCACCCCTAGCTAGCAATGTCTGGCACTTACATACGATCCATTCTTGCCACCTTTTCGACATTCCATTGCGAGAGTGAATTGCCATTTTTGGTTCCGGTAAAACTGGAGGCACTGGCAAACATGGCACTCATGGAAACAACTTGCGCCGTATCCCATTGACTGAGATCTTGATCAAATGCATGAGCGCCTTCAAACATGGCGGCCATACTGGTGACGCGGCTGGTATCCCACTGCGAACAGCCGTCGTCGTTGAAGTCCTTTTTGCGACGAAAGAGTCCTCGAAAACTCGTCACGGCCGTGGTGTTCCATTCGTTCAAGGGACCAAAGTACTTTAGGCCCAGAGTGGGATTGTCGCACCAAATATCGACGGCTTGTTGAATGTTTTGATCCGTCATGACATTGTTCGGTGTGTCACCAGCTGGTTCTGTAGTAGTAGTAGTACTACTGCTGCTAGTCGAAGGAAGCAGGTCCAACCCATTCCGCATCATGCTCTTGCGAGACGAATCGTCTTCGGGTGGATTGATATCGTTTTTGTCCTTGGAGCCTCTTCGGCCCGACGGATCCAAGAGACTGTTCGTTTCATCCGGCTGGAAAAGATTCGGATCTCCTTCTACTTCTGGCTGTGGCTTGTCCTTGGAACCTCTCCTGCCAGAAGGACCAAACACCACGGGAGGATCTGCATCATTGTCATTCAGGGATCTACTGCGCAGGTTCGCAGAACTACTACTCGATGATTCCACAAAAACAGCAAGGACCACTGCCAATAATAGACCCAATAATGACATGGAGGGATGTATTCTCTTTGGCATGGTTGCTGGCTAGTACGGTAGCCGGTAGTGCTCTTCTATATCCTCTGCTGCCAGTGTCTTCCTTTGTTTGACGACGATCTGATCAGATTCTGCGCAACCAAGCAACGGCTGCATGGGTTGCCATGGTACCTGTAAACAAAGTAATAAGTGAAGTATCTTGAAAGTGAGAGAGATTTTTGGTTGGGACCTTTTGGGCGTCACAAGAGTTGGACGATGGCTCTCCTTTCACATTTTTTCCTGGTCGGTTCTGGTTTCGGCCACCAAAAACTATAGCGGAGGAGACTTCCAATACAACATGTATGTAACAATGGAATGATATAGACCGGGCTGCAACAACTACCGTAAACATATGGTATTAATAGACATTATTGTTTATCAGCTACAATCTTTAAAAAAACAAATATGCAAGGATACACGCAGTACATTTTATGCTTGCATTTGTAGTTGTGTGGTTTCTCTATCTATCTGTGGATCTGCTGCCTTTTTGGGAATACATGTTCCGGTAGTTGCTGATGACCGATCTTGCAATCTTGCAAGCGAGCTAGCTACTAGCTAGGCAGTAACCAGGCCTTGCTCCAATCGGTTTGGAACGGGCGGCTCTAGTCGGACACTTGTGTGGGGAGAGTAGACAGGCTTGGAAGAGGAGGAGGACAACGGGAAACCTTCACAGCACCAGCGAAAAGCCCCAGATACTGGTTCCACCAATGCTCTTCTTTGGACGACTTGTTAGCAGCCTGACGACGGTGTTGTTGGCAATGTCGTGTCAAATCATACTTGCACATTGGGCACCAACAGCAACTATCTGGCTTGGGTTGAAGTATCAGTCCTCGGTTGTTATACGAAGCATCCCGGGCAAGCCACTTGTCCATGCATTGAGGGTGAAAGTAATGATGACAAGGCAAAGCACAAACCTTGGTTCCGGGTTCCATATCATCGAGGCAAATGGCACAACAATGGGGTTCCTCATCATCGTCTGTGCAAGTTCCAAGGACTTGTGGCGGACCCACGTCCTTGCTGGTAAAAGGGTCAGGAATTGGAGCTGGTTGAGCATTGTAGCTGTCAGCCATCATGGAGAGTCTTTGTACCCACAAAAACCAAAGGAGGATTGGCAATGCCATGCAGAGAAAATATTTCAGGGCACCCTGAAACTGGGTGCCTGGATAAATGGGGCAATCCAGAGCAAGGTCGTCCAGGAGGTGAAACCAAGGCATCATTTTTGGTGAACAAGCCATCGCATTCATTATTTTGGATTAGGTAGGTTGATGGTTGAAGGAGCTAGCTAGCTGAGTTGAAGAAAATGAGTTGGATTTTTTTGAGGACAACAGAAAGAGGTCGCGTTCCTTGGCTACGGTTCGTTTCAACTCGTGTTTGTTTCAGCCTTTTTGCAAGGCGCAAGCAAGGCTTCGCATCTACATCACGTAGTTCAGCTCAAATGCTGTACAACTAGCCAATTCTACAAGTTAGCTAGTAGCTTCCATCAGCCGGCATTCATACTGCTTTCGCCACAGCTGAATCTCCAATTCTCCGCCTACCCACCAGGCTCGTAACCGGACTGCATGAGCCCTCCTTTCACCACCGCTTGCCCAAACCAGCACTACCGGTACCGGTATCCCCCCCGTACTAGCTAGCAAGACGCGACCACCACAGCGCTGGTACCAGTAGGAGGTACATGTAGCACCACGACGTTACCGGCATGGCTCGGTACAGTAATACCCACATGGACTACACGCTGGCTACAGTAGCCACGGTAGGGAAGTGCAATCATTGATTCACAGGTTGATTTGATTTTTTATTTTATTTTTGGCAAATCGAAAAACAAATACTAAATAGATACGGTAAGGAGCGACGGGGGCGAAGGTTGATTTGATTGTGCGGTGCTGAACATGAACTGAAATTCAGAAGCCTTCCGAATTCGCTTCTGCTCCCTTCACGAAGCTGAGATTGAATCAATCGATTGATTCGATGGAATTGAGATTCGAGTCGAGTCACTCAATTGAGACTGAGGACTCGAATAGATCCGCTGATGACAGCCAACACCACAGGAAGACAGTTTTAGACGGGTAGATGCGGTAAATATAGAGATAAAGATACAGCTTACTCTGCATATTTGAATCCAAAATTTGTATTACCTCATTTTCCTCATTTCCAAAGCTGTCTTCCGGCTTGGCTCGTCATTGTTCTGTACGGATACATAACAAAGCCGCCAAATACAATTCGGTCCTCCTTCAGATCTCAACTCTTATTAGCTAAGATAGCTGCTGGATGGTGCCACAAACTCGGACACTGATAAGCAAATATCCGCAATAAAGAGAAGATCTTTGGAGTTGACTGTGAGACTCGCCACTCATCACTCGTGCTGTGCTGGTATCTTCCTTCAAAGATACACTTCGCAACGCAACAATCACAGAGGTCACTTTGAGAGGGAGATCTTCAACACAGAGACAGAGAAAGCTTGAAAAGAGGGATTTCAACCCAGAGAGAGGCATCCCACACACTTTTAAAATTCCAAGCAATACAAAATGGCGACGGAAGACACCAGCACCAGCAACGTTGTGGAGTTTGACGCCTTGATAATAGGCGGAGGCGTTTCGGGAGTATCGGCAGCCTACCACTTGCAGAAAACTTGCCCCAGTCTCAAATTTTGCATCCTAGAAGCCCGAAAAAATATGGGCGGAACCTGGGATTTGTTTGACTATCCCGGCCTTCGCAGCGATTCGGACATGTACACATTTGGCTTTTCATTTCGGCCTTGGGCAAGTCAGACTCAATCGGTTATCGGAACCAAGCAAACCATTCTCGACTATCTCCACACGGTTGTCAAAGAATTTGACTTGCAAAAGCATGTCCAGTTTCAATGTCAGGTACTAAACGCCGATTGGGACTCCCAAGAAGGCAATTGGACCTTGACCACATCGCAAAAACAGAACCATGACGACTCGACAACTACCGTCATTTATCGAGCACGCTATTTGTTTTCTTGTACGGGCTATTACAACTATGAAGAAGGATACACTCCTGAGTTTCCCAACCGAGATGCCTTTCCGGGTCCTATCATTCATCCCCAACATTGGCCCAAAGACTTGGACTACAAAGATAAGAACATTGTCGTCATTGGCAGTGGAGCCACGGCAGTCACATTGATCCCCTCTTTGACGGAGGGTCCCCATGCAGCATCACATGTCACCATGTTGCAACGATCTCCCACATTCATGGCCAGCCGACCCTCCCACATGACCATCCTCTCACGATCCATTCTCTATTGGTTTGGACAAGATGCCACACGCTGGTTTTACATTTTGTTTGGCATGTTCTTTTACAACATTTGCCAGTCATTTCCACGTGCCTTGTCCGAGTTCTTGATTGATGGTGTCGAACATCAAATTGGATCTGACAAATTCAAGGAAGACGATTGGACACCACGGTACAAGCCATGGGATCAACGTCTCTGTGCGTGTCCTGATGGTGATTTCTTTAAAACCATCAAATCGGGCAAGGCCAGTGTTGTGACGGATCACATTGTTGAATTTACGGAGAAGGGTGTTCGGACAGAAAAGAACGATGTCTTGCCCGCGGACATTATCATTACGGCCACCGGATTGAAGATTCATTTCTTTGGAGGCATGAATATCACCCTGGACCAAAAGCCATTGGACATGCCATCGCGATTCATCTACAAGGGATTCATGATGAATGGCGTCCCCAACTTTTTTGTGGCGGGCGGATACACCAATGCCAGTTGGACGCTCAAGATTGATCTGACCATGCAAGCCGCATCGGATCTGATCAATATCATGGAAACCAAGTCGTATCGATACTGTCAACCCGAATTACCCAAGCCGGGAAATGAAATGGAGGCTGTTCCTTCCATTGATTTGACATCGGGATATATTCAACGATCGAAACATCTCATACCCAGCCAATCCACATTTTATCCTTGGAGGCTCTACCAGAACTACTTGTACGACAAGTACTCACTCCAATTCCAGAGCCTAGAGGATGACACACTCAAGTTTTCCAAGTAGGACGAAGAAACGGCAGAAAGAGGAGAGATGATATTGTAAGTGCAATGAAATGTCACGTTGACGGAGAGGAAACTAGACAAGGTCTGAAATGATAGATGGTAATTAGTTAAGTTAGGTTACCCTCGATCAGGTTTCTCCTGCTAACCTTGTCCGCTGTTGGTAGAAAAGATTAGAGGCAAGAAATAGTCAAATCTTTCCTGATCTCCACGCCAGACTCCGGTTCGAACACCTTCCCCCTCAAAGGCCTCCATCGAAAGAAGATCGAGTGGGGAAGATACTGCTTTTAGAGCATTTCCACCGGGATAGTATTCGACCTTGAGTCCAAATCCAAGCACGGCATCTTTGTCGTCAAGCTTCACCTTGGAGTGGTAGCACATAATCTGGGATCTCTCGAAGAGGTTGTACGTGAACAAAACCTTTCGCCAATGTGAGCACACATCCCGAACACGAAGCAGCTCTTTCGGGCCAAGGAAAGTAAAGATGCTGGATTGGACATCGGGAGGAAGAGCTGTTGTGAGTGTGGACATCTTGGAAATGGTCGTGGATTCTGGCGCTTCCGAGCCGAGGACAGGTACTTCTTCTGAATCGATTGCCAGCTTTAATGGCTCAAGTTGCTGACGTTCGGATGAAATCTGAGGACGAACCGAAGGGGAGGTTACATGCATCGTCTGTGACTTGCGGCGGCCTCGAACTTGATATCCAGTCTCTCCAACATATTTCGGAAGGGGAGGCCATGGATTTTCGTGTGTATGCTCGACCACGCCCCCATCGTGCGGCTCGATCCCAAATCGGAAGCTTTCGGCGTCGCGAACTGCCTTGTCCATCAACGACCTGGAAGCCGATACCGATTGGTAGCCGCCCCAGTCTTGTGGGATATTCTCCGCAAACAAAAAGGATTGGAGTTGGAGAATGACGCTAAGAATGGAGTACGCGGATGTCCAACCAGCGTAGGGCGTCGAGACGTAGCGTTGCTTCAAGAGATCGAGGCAGATCCAGAGTGAGCTAGGACACACAGTTCGCCAGTTTGGATCTTCCAGATTGTCATCAAACACATTAGGGTGGTTCGGAAGGCTAGAACCGAGCTCAACTGCAGGTGGAGAATTAGGGTAGGTCTTGGGGAATTGAAGAATGAGATGGAATATGGTTCCTGCGTACGGTCCGTAGTCGGGACGAAGGTTACAGTGCCAAATGAACATGTTGCTCGTCGGCAGCGCCGCAACGGTCGTCAAGTTTTCTTTTTCCTCCTCCAACTCCTTCCAGTCGATGTGGAGCCGCCGAAGAGCGTATCGCTCTGTCTGAGTGTGGGACATGCTTGGTTCTTGATGCGCAAACTTGCTTGTCTTGTTGACCAAAGAGACTGTTGCTGTAGTTCTGGCGACAGAGGGCTTCGTCGCGTTCGGAGCAAAAAAGTGCCGAGAGACAACGGCTCTGAAAGTGTCAGTCGTGCTTGCTCCGCTCGGTTTGCTCAGCCTCCGTTAGTTATATAGTACGTGTAGAAAACGCACAAAAGGTGAGATAGTTGAGAGGTTGTCACATGCCCACATTCCCGATGTGGTACCTGTTGGAAGAGCATAGATACCGTGCATAGGAAGTTATCTCTGAAGAGGGCGAGGGACCAGGTTCAATTAGGCAAAGAACAAGCCAACTAACGTCAGGTGAAATGGTAAGATCGTACGAGATAGCCTTTCCGTAGGTACCAAAGTTGCAGATAACATCCATCGCTCGCGGTCCAATTGATTCGATTCTAGGAGTACGGAGTAATGGCGTTGGCGGTGAGTTGCTGATCTGTTGTGGGCCTCGGTTTGGGTTAACTTTTTGTCGCGTAATTGGGCTGGAGTAAGGAGTGTAGGCCATGCTTTGGTTCGGGAGTGGAGCTGGGAGTGGATTCAGGTCTTGGTCCTCTCAATGGGCTAGATTGGAAGGTCCTACTGCTGTGGGACAAGGAGTAGGGCCTGGAGATGATGGGGCAGTTGTTATAGTTTAGGAGTGCGGCCTGGAGTAGGCCCTTGAGTTGGTCTAGGAGTGGGGCTTGGAGCTGGCCCATAGGGAAGCCCTGCAGACGGTTCAGGGATGGGTCCAGCAGTGCGTCCTTGTGATGGTTTGTTTGGGAGATGGATGGGATCAAGTCCAGGGGTGGGACCTGATGTAGTTCCAGGTCCTAGATTGGGTTCAGGCGTGGTTCTAGGGGTGAGTCCAGGAGTTGGCCTGGTAGTGGGTCCAAGTGCATGGTGTTGGTCCAGGAGTTTGGCAGGAGTATAAGGAGTGTAGTCCATGCTTTGGTCCAGGAGTGGAGCTGGGAGTCGATTCAGGCCTTGGTCCTCTCAGTGATGATCCAGGTGTTTGGCGTGCGGGTGGTGGTCATGGCGTTTGGTCCAGGAGTGGGGCTACCGGCACAGGTGGATGGTGATTAGCCCTGGAGTTGGTTTGGGTCGTTGCGCTCGGGCATCTCGCACCCTGCTAGTCGAGCTCCGGAGTGCTTTGTCACGTCGCTTGTTTGGTTCTGTGCGACGAACCGGTTCGGCGGCACGTATAAGAGCAGCTAACTACATATTGTATCCAAAATCATTCATTGTTTGGTTATCATGCAATTTTAGGGCTCTCAAGAAGCACGTTCATGTAAAGCAGTGTACACCGGCTCGTGGCATGGAAGATGTACTAGTATCTGAGCAAGCAGGTAAGGTGCGACACTTACTGTACCTGGTACGATGTATGGCTTGGTCATATGAAGTATCCGCAGCGGAGTACTTGTTGTGTCGGCAAGCGACGCACGTTTTAAGCGCAATGCGGATGGGAATGTATACAGGCAGAAAGATCATCTTGGTTTGGCGCTGTTCGTTCCTTGCTCAGGAAGCCACACCGGCTCCGTCATCGGCTCCGCCACCTGCAGACGTCGCCGTAGTCTCACGGCAGACTGCTTCGTGGACTGCGGTGAACTCTGATGTGCGCAGCAATTCCACAGTCCCCTGCAATCCCCGAATCTCCTCTGGCTTGAAGCCCGGAGGATTTCCATGAGAAAACGTCATGACCGATTCCAGTTCCCGCAAGATCCAAAAGGCTTCGTGAAAGTCTCCCAACTCCACCAAGACCTGAGCCTTGTTGTTCAGCGAGACAATGATCATGTGAGCTTCTACAAACAGATTGGCCCGAGTTTCATCTGTGGAATGTTCGTAGTTTCCTTCTTTCAAGCGCTTGAGACAATGGTTGTAACAGTTGAGACCCCGAGTGGCATTCTTCCGAGTGCTGCTGGCCTGCGCCGTTGCGTTGTTTGCTCCTCCTGACTCGGAGGAATACCTGATTCTAGCATGCTGGTGAAAGGTGATGGCCATGTTGAAGAGGATCACGGCTTCAAAGAAGTTCACTTCTCGAGGGTCACTCGCGCTTTGCGGGTGGAACACCAGGGCTTCATCATAGACAAAGCACTGCTGTGGTGGTCGAGGAGTGGGCGGCACGGGAGTTTCCCCGTCGATCTTGGTGGCAGTAAACCACGCAGGCTCGTTGGTGTCCAGGATAAAGTGGTACTTGTCCACAGACTCGGGAGGGATCAACGGGTTGGGGCGTTCATTGTCGCTACCGGCTTCATCTTCATTGTTGCCGCCTTCTTGCTGCTCGTCTCCGGACGATTCACCTCGCAGGGCCCGGCCAATGCAGTGATACGCGACGGCGAAACTGGCAATGGCCTCATCTAGCTCTTCTTCTCCAAGAAATGAAACTCCCTCGCAGTTCTTCAAAGCTGCTAGGCGCAACAGCTCCTTCTGGGGATCCGTGGTGTCGTTCAAGTTGTTTGCCATGGCGCTTGTCATGGGCCGGCGGTCAATAATCTCAATATCTTGCTCTCGTTCTAACTCTCTTGAAGTGCTCTTGTGGTGGAACGCACCCTGTGAAAGTATAATCTGACACTTGATAGTTCCTTTGACAAGTTGGTTGTGAGAGAGCTGCAGGCTAGCCAGCTACCGCCAGCTACATGTAATAGCCAGCGCCAGCTGGTAGCGCCTACATGAATGTTGGTACAGTCGTACCTGGTACCTGTCCCGGTTAGTTCTCGCAATTACAGTTCTGCGTGACATTTGGAATGTTAAGGTTCGGTTCCAAGGTTCCAAGAACGACGTGATGCTTGGTTTTTAAAAGAATGCACACATGATCAAGCTTGAGGTTCAAGCTTGAGGTTCAAGGTTCAAGGGCAGCAGATGGCCATGTTTCTCTACACTGTAGTTTCGGGTGAAGAAACTGCGGCGACATTGGTGTCTGCTTGCGGTGGAAAGGTCATGGTTTAGAGGTAAAAAGCATGGCACTGTTTCCCACTGTAGAAAGACAGTGGTAAACAGTTGTAAACGATGGAAAAATAGTGAAAGTGAGTCGAAAGTGCCTACAGTACATGTACACGGCTGAAAGGAAAGGCTTTTGGATGTATGGATAGAAATGGTGGGCAGGGCGCAGAGCGGCTTTGATACTAGTATTCTCAATCCTTGCAGCATGAGAACCAGATTTGATACGATCTTAAATCTCATTTATGCATAGCAGTTTTAGGTATTAAATACATTGAATAGCTATTAAATTTATTGTTTATACAGTAAGAGTATGCATATGTCTTTTATTTGCAAAGGGATAGGATCGACGCAGATGTTCTGCATTCTGCAAAGGCTTATCTACTCAGTACTGTTATGTCATACAGTACTACTCACTCGAGTACCTGGTACTCAGGATTAGTACGTACAGCTACTACATTATTGTCTGCAAGCTTTATTGCCCCATAAAAAGGCCTTCTTCTCCATTGGATTCACCTTAATCGGTGACGCAAGCACAAGCTGACTGTCTTCTCTGTTGGCTGAATAGAGAAACGTACTGTAACAGCGAAATGTGCGACTGTTCTGTGAGCAGTATCATACAGTAGCTGTTGGATCGAACATTCGATTCGATTGATTCTTTTCGATTGGGCGGACGTTACAGGACTTCTGAACGACCAGTTCGCAAAGAGATAGCGCAGATGGCAGCAGGGTGCGGAAATGGGATTTAACAGTCCTGCGTGAAACTACAGTAGTTTCACGCAGACTTGCGTGAAACTAACCGTTAATTGCACTCAAGACTACTAGTTTCACGCAGGCTGCGTGAAACTAGCCGTTAGTTTCACGTGAAACTAGTTGTAGGCTTGTGTGAAACTATGTTCAGTCGTGCGTGAAACTATCAATCTATCCATAGTAGTCACTAGTAAATCTTGCGTGAAACTATGCGGTTTGCTGCGTGAAACTAGCCGTTTTCTGCGTGAAACTAGTCATTTCTTGCTAGTTTCACGCAGACCTGCGTGAAACTAAGTACTAGTTTCACGTCACGTCGCGTGAAACTGCGTGAAACACTGCGTGAAACTAACTGCTAGTTTCACGCAGACTTGGTGATTAAGTCCCGTTTCCGCACCCTGCAGGGAACCGGTACGGTTATAGGGCTTGGTTTCCGTACGAGTACTAGCTAGCTAGTAGTAGTCTAGTACTTGAGCACAAGCAGCCCAATCAGTCGTGCGTCTTATGATACTGGAAGCAAAAAGTGACTGAACCTATACGTGTAGTAAATTCCTGAATCGAATCGAATCGAGTCAACAGCTCACGGAACTGGTGAACTGGTACCGTACGGTCTTGGCTTGGTTTCAGTCGCTGCGCGAGAGCCGAACCGTACGTCATACGGCATACGAACTGGGAGCAAACAGTGACTGTAAATCCTGAATCGAATGGAGTTGAATCAATAGGTCACAACTGCGAAATCGCGAAAACAGAGGGAAGGATCTGCGGTAACAGTTAGTCTAGTTGCCGTGGTCGAGGAAACAATCCGGCGGATACACCTCGTGACAAATAAAATATTGTCATTGAAGGTTTTTCTCCAGCCCCAGCTGTGAGCACAACTTCCAACTCTTCCCAGATGTGTGCTTGCTTGGTGTCTTCCACGAGAATCGTACAAGTGGAGGAGAAATGTGATGCTTTCGCTCCATGAAGACCCCGCTGAAAAATTCCAAAAAATAGAAAGACAACTGAGTGTCGTTCCAACAGAGGTGCTTACCGGTACCGGTACGGTACGGTACGGTACGGTACCGGTATCCCTGCATCCAACTCCATTCTCTCCGTAACTAAACGAAATTCACCGTGCCACATCTCCCACCTTAGTTTCAACCTTTTTATTACCTTTACAACGGTACCACTCTTGGGTCCCTGGGTTACATCGTTCGTTCAGGGTGACGATCAATCTTTGCTCGCTACGTACCGGTACATGTACCGGAACGGGTACCGAATGCCGGTTCCTCGAGAAGAAGGGGCGCGCCATTTTTGCCGTTGTCCGCGAGTCCTTCGCGCCAGAAGTACCGTTAGTTGCTTGTACTATTTTACTATCGACAAAATCCCACTAACAATTCCACATGAACACATAGCACCACAACTGTGACTGCCCCCATTGTCACATATCGTCTCGGCTTGGTACTTAGCCAGAGCGCGCAATATCGTTTGTGCGAGATGGATGAGCAAAAAGCGAGAAAGGTTTGCATGAAAATCGCTCATTTAACTTGTATCCTCCGCCAACATCAGCCTTCTTGCTACCTTCCGTTGTTGCATTTGTTAGTTACCCTATTCTAACACTCGTCTCACCACCATGGTGTCATATCGAAGAGGATGGTTCTTGCTGTTTGCGCTCTCACAATGTCATTCGGTTGCAACAGAATCTCCACAACGGCTCCGAGTGAAAGGGACGGCTGATGTTCCTCCCAAGCAAAAAAATGCCCGAGATAAGCTTGTGCAAGTCGAAAATATTCAAAAAGACGATGGCAAAAACACGCCTGCTAGCCACAATCTACGAAGGTTAGAGAGTCGTATACAACAGGAGACCGAACGAAAGACGCTGCAATTGGAAGATGAATTAATGTTTGAGCTGTTCTTTCCACAAGGAGAAGGAAGCTACGACACGTTACCAGCCGAGACAGCCGCTCCAGTGCCACAGACACCAAACCCAAAGCCATATCGCACGCCGGCTCCAGCGACTTCGAATCCTCCCTTCAGCACACCACCAATGGCCTCGCCGACAACTCCAGCAAATTTGCCCCCAATGGCCTCTCCAACAATTCCAGCAAGTGCCGGTACGCCAAGACCCACATCAAAGCCGACTTCAGAGCCCACTGAAAGACCAACAACACCAATACCAACTTCAAATCCAACTGAAAGGCCGACGACTCCAAAGCCTACGCCAAGTCCAACGAAAGCGCCAGCAACACCAAAACCTACCCCACGTCCAACGAAAGCGCCAACACCCAATCCACCTGATCCGACACCTCCACCAACACCTGAACCAGTGCCTTCTACTCCCAAACCAACCAAGGCACCTACGGCTCCAGTTCCTCCTCCCACGGCATCTCCTCCATTGCGTTGTGGTTGTGCCGATTGTACGAATGAACGCTGGAACACCCTTGCCGGCGGATTTAGCTGTGGAGAGCGGATTGTTTTTGTCATTGGTATGGGATCCACGGAAGAAGCAGCTTGTCGACTCGTGGCCGGATCTGAGTGGCCCGACACTTGTGGACCGTTTTGCGATCCGGATCGATGTGATGAAAATGGCAGGACCGATACCAGCGCACCCATTCTGCCAGCTGCACCCGCACCCACACCACCTGCGCCAACACCCACAACGCCGGCAGCATCTCCCACAACACCGGCAGAAGCACCACAGACGTACTGTGGATGTGATGAATGTACAGAGGAAATTTGGAACACCATGGTCGGACTCTTCACTTGTGGAGAGCTCATTGAGAGCGTCATGAGTGTACCAAGGCAGCAAGCATGCGGGCTCATTGCAGGCATCAACTCGGAGTTCTCGGGGTACTGCTATCCCTGTGATCCTGCCCGGTGCGATGGCAAGGTGCCGCCGACACCCAGCCCAAGTCTTCCGGCTCCCGTCCCAGCAAGTCCTGCCCCAACACCGGCCCCAACACTGATAAACCCCATGCCGGGACCAACTCGTTGCGGATGCCCTGCATGTGGTGGTGCCACTCTGGATCAACTCGCCGGAGACTTTACCTGCTTGGCGCGCATTGATTTTTTGATGTCCACAGGACAATCTGAAGAAGATGCCTGCCGCTTGGTTGCTGGATCAGAGTTTGGCGATGTCTGTGGACCAAACTGCGACCCTGATCGATGCGAAGGATACATTCCCGTGACTCTAGAATCCTTGGAGCCAACCATCACACCTTTTCCCACTCCAGCGCCAAAATGTGGGTGTGATGACTGTGCTCAAGCTTGGGGTCTCCTTGCTGGCGACTCCACCTGTGGAGAACGAATCCAATACTTGATGGATGCTGGAAGTCCCGAAGAAGAGGCTTGCCGACTAGTTGCGAGCGTGGAATTCCCATTCATCTGCGGGCCATCATGCGACCCTGATCGATGCGATGACAATAATCCTGCGTTGGAGCCACGTACGCCGTTGTATTGCTTCCCTCCCTATGATGAACGACAACGATACGAAAACGTCTGGGGCAACTACATTGTCGAAGTCAAGGAAGACGACTCTTTGGGAGTATGTGATCCATCCTTCAACAGGTTCACCAGTGAAATGGTCGAAGTAAATGGAGACGAATTGACCTTGCGTTTCAAGAAGAATGGTGACATGTGGGAAGCGGGGGAAGTCCGGATTGTCATGCCGGAAGAGGAAATGCCCTTTGATTATGGAACTTATTCCTGGAATGTCAAGAGCATCGAGCTCAAGAACGTTGACACGGGTGTTGTACGACAAGACTTTTTGCCGCCCAACATGGTCTTTGGCATGTTCACGTGGGATGCCACCGAAGACTTTTCCATTCGAGAGAATTATTCACATGAAGTGGATATTGAGCTCGGTCGATTCGAGGACGCTGATTCTCCCAATGATGCCCATTTCATAATGCAACCAGCAATCGATTCCAACATGTACAGCTTTAGCACAGCCCTTGACGATGGGACCTTCCAGCAGGCTCCACACAGCTACTCATTCACTTGGAACCCCGGTGCCATCACTTGGGAGACCACTGCTGGTGGCGGTGTGGATCACTTTTATACTACAGAGCAAGCAGTAGTCATGGACGAGGAAGACTACATCCAATGTCTACCGGCCGATGTCGAAGTTCGCATCAATCTTTGGAGTTTAGGAGGTGCTCTTGCGGCTCCAATGGAAATGGCCGACGATGAAATGATTGAAGTTGTGGTGGATAACTTCAGCTTCACACCAACTGGTCGAACAGGAATTCCAGATGGAGGCTTCTGCTCCAAGGATTGTCAATGTCAGGGAGGTTCTGAATGTAGCCTGGTTACCAGTGTTTGTACGCCCATGACGGTGTCTTAGCTGCTTGGCTGGACAGGCACGGCACTGTTCATGAGGAGGCAATATGCAATGAAGCTGATTCAGGTTTGGAAGCCTAGTAGCTAGCTATTTGCCAAGGGGGAAGCCACATGAGCAAACACAAGCAAACAAGTTGCAGCCGCTATTTCTTGGCTGATGTTTATTCAAGATACATAGATACTCAAAGTAAAGTAGTGATGATACATTACACTTCTTCTTTCTACGAAGCCAATTAGACACTCTCGTTTTAAAGGCCACGCACTTACGGTATGCATCCGTGCCCAAAACTCCCGCATCCTCGGCCTAGCTAGAGCCTCGCTCCCAGAGGTCACCAGTTTGTCTTCATCCCACCAAGTCCAGCCCCGAATTTGGCCTTCTCTTTTGCTTTGCCTCTTCCTAGCTTTTATCCATTAGTGAATAATCGAATACTCTACTAGTAGTCCTTCTATAGTGCTCAACGGGTGACAGGTCCTAACGATGATGCCATGAATGCTCTTTCAATGCGTGATGGACAGAGATTTTGCAATATGAAACCAGAAGGCCCTGTTTATCATCTTCCTGCGCAGCAACCAGAGAATACTGGTACAGTCCTTCTTGACGTCCAATCCCTTCGCTCTACACTTGGGCTTCAATAGTAAAGTGTATTCTTTTATCTTATTTAATCAATGTATGCATAGAGCAACGTCTTAAAGTGCGTAGTCAGGGACGGCAGCCAGAATCACAGTTCACCAGCCAGCGGAAAACACAGCCGCTCAGCAAACGTTCAAAGCCATACGTCCCTTCTCACCCCTTTTCATTGCCTAATGTCGCAGACGATTCCTCTTGTTCTTGCCGTTACCGTTACCATTGCTGTTTCCATTAGCATTACCAGGGGAACCTTCCGTAGGTGCGCTGGTGGGGGCATCCGTCGGTGCTTTGGTTGGAGCGCTAGTTGGGGTGTCCGTCGGAGCTTTGGTTGGAGCGCTAGTTGGGGCATCCGTCACTGGAGTGACAGGAGATGACGTGACGAGGGTAGTTGGCGAGCCCGTCACTTTAGCGACAGGAGATGACGTGGCGGGGGCAGAGCTGGCGGGAGCTGTCGAGACAGGCGCATCGGTCACGGGGACAGGTGCATCGGTGACAGGGGCCGAGCTCACAGGTGCAGACGTCTTCGAGCTACCTTCGGTTGTTGACGTTCCAGCTTCCGTAACAAAGGGTGGAATCCATGATGCAGTTTCCGGGTCGACGCACTGGTATCCACCCTTGAGCGCTGTGAGTGCCGAGTATGGAAGGACACCTTCGTACAAGTCTTCCTTTAACCGTGCATACAAACCGTGACTTTGGATCAGTTGCTGGGTGAAGGATGCCGACTCAGTAGTCATCTTGTCGTTTGTAATTGCACCACCAGTGATGGTATCTGAACCCTTCTGTGAGTCAACCTTAGTTCCAGAAACGACTTCGATTGTGTCTCCGGCAAATAGAGTCCACCGAGCGTTGTCCCACTGAGAAAATGCGTTGGAGGACTCGTCGGCCCGGAAGTCCCCGCTTGTGAGTTGCTCGAAACCGTACGAGGTCCAGTAGTCGCCAAAGATAACGTTGCTGCTGCTGTTGCCAGAGAAGTAGTCTCCGTGATAGCTTGGTTCCACAAGTTTGGACGTTTGAGAATCATAGCGTTCATTGTAGAATTCGATTGAGTAGCCGAAGACGTCTAAGTTGTTGTCATTCAGCGACGCAACTGGGCGCTTCCTCAAGGTTTCGACTGATTCAACATAAGCTGACAAATCAGCAGTCTTGACATCCCGAGAGGACGCAACACCACCCAACACAGCAAAATCACCAACAGCCAAATTGTTTCCTTCGTTCAGGTAGATCTCATCTGTTCCGATGGAATTGACGAAAGGCACGTCGTCAAATGGAAGGCTGTTCTTTTGTTGATTCGAAAATGGGCTAGTGGGTGTCAGGTCGGCGTTTGCATGGTCGTCGCGAGCGGCCTCACGTGCAGTGCGGATCGACGAAAGAGCTCTCTCAACATTCTGGTCGAAGGCATTGTCCATGCCCTCGAAAGCAAAACCGGTGATGCCCGGCCGATCCGCCTGGACGAACAATGTTGCAGAATCACCAATGACAATGTCATTCCCATATGATTTGATCGTGTCATCCGCAAGCTTCAGTGTATGGAGAGGCACCGCTAGACTGGGATTGCTTGTCTCCGAGTTGAGGGCTCTTGACAACAAGTTGTGATGGATCTCATACAGGGCAAAGTGGAAGTCAACAAGGACCAACTCAAGGTCAAGGAATCTGTTCAAGATGTCCTCCGACATCTGCAAAAGAGAGTTTTCGTCAACCCCGTCTGCCTTGTAGGTTCTTCCCATAATTGTGAGAGAGTCTCCAGTCACTAGAGAGCTGCCAGATGGATTGGTTGAAATTGTATCACAGGCAACAGACATGTCCGCGTCAGCATTGTATGCATATCCTGACCTCTCTGTGTCAACTTCAAGCGTGCTCATTCTCACACTCAGAGAGTTTATCAAATCATCTAGTCTCTCACGAACTGTTTCAATGTCTGAAAACTGGGAGAGGTCAAAACCAGAGTTGCCAATGATATCATCTCCAATGACGATGCTGCTTCCCTTGCCGCTTGCAATATTATCATTTCCATGGAAACGATGCTGTGAATTCAAGAATCCTGGCACAGCACCAAACATGGGTTGCAAGCAAGTTCCGTCTCCAGTTTCCAGGGCAGATACTCCAATGATATCATGAAGCAGATTACTGTCAGACTGGAGATCATCCATATTCACTGCCAGATCAATAATGGATCCAAGGGAATCAACTTGGCGGTACTGATTGGGCCAGAGCTTGTAATCAATGGAGAACACTGCTCCGTACTGAGGCACCTCAAAGGGAGAAGGAGCCGACAAAGCACGGTAGATCTCATAGATCTTCGGGAAATCCATGTTGTAGGTAATAGAATTTGTGCCAGCATCACCAATGATCAAGTTGTTTCCATAACCTCCTACAAATGTATCATCTCCACGCTGGCCAATGAGAATATCATCACCATGGCTTCCATGTAGGACATCGTTGTGACTGGGTTCCAAATCAAACAAGATGAGCTCAGTTGGCCATCCACCCCTTTTAGGATCACTTGTCTGCTTTCCATCACTGTATTCATTGGCCACAATCATCATTGATGAGGCAGCTACATCCTCAGCCAACAGGGCGCTCGAATTGAGGGTAGTGGAGATCTGGTGAGCGGAGGTGATCTTGCCTACCTCTTCCAGGACAATGTCTTTGTGCCACACATAAGATGAAGTTGTTCCGCTTGTGTCTGAGTTAAGGCGGGGGGTTCCTGTTTCATCAAATCTCCGGACAACAAATCCGACGTCGCCCAGAACAATGTCATTTCCGTGGCCACCATCCAAGTAATCGGAGCCCAGGCCTCCAACCAATTCATCTTCACCTTCGCCACCATGAAGAGCTGAAAGACAGGTCAAAAGTCAGTACGCAGACCACAAATTGGTTCCCACCCAAGGCCAGTCAGCAACTTACTGTCATCACCTCTCTGACCCCAAATCACATCATTGCCCCCGTCTCCGTAGATCACGTCGTCGCCCTAAACGAAACACAAAATTTAAATTAGAAACCGAAACAAGCGAACTTGTCATCCCAGTTGCAACAGAAACTCACCTGAACCAGATCCACATCATCGAAGAGCCTGACTTCCCTGATTACCTCAGTGTCAAACGGAGCGGGGAATGTAACCCAGGTGATTTCGTGTTCCCAAGGGAACGTGTTTCCAGCAGTACCTTCGCGAAGAATCCTTGCATTGTCTCCGACAATGGTGTCTTCATTATCACCTCCATGGATAGTGTCACCTCCGTCTTCTCCGTGCAGAATGTTATGCCCTCCAGTGATATCATCCTGGTCGATACAGAAAATGGTTACCAGTCAGATTTCGCCTGCTAGAAACAGAAGAAGACAGAATGGAGTGCAACACTGATATCTGCGCTTACCTGGCCTTCATCGCCATAGATAACATCATGACCCTAGGACAACGTCACAGCAATCAACATGTCAGTTCGTGATATAAGGCATGAGCAAGGTCTCTACCAAAAGCAGCTGCTTACCTCTTGTCCAAAGATGATATCCTTCAATTATCGTTCACCAAAAGTAGGTTAGTCGCAAGCAAAGAATGGTAACTATGCAGCCAGCCATGTTTTCACAGCACCAAAACTTACATCCTCAGAACCACCATGGATAGTATCATTTCCAGAATATTCAGCATGTGTAATGTAGGATTTGTACTGTGGGTAGCTTAGCTGAGCATCATACTCGCCAAAGTCACCAAAGATAATATCTTGCCCTGCATTGCCTTCAATGTGATCGTTTCCTGCTGCACCAAATGCAATGTCATCACCAGCACCCAGGTAGATATAGTCATCTCCTCCAGTGCATTCGGGAAACGTAGTCTCAGCAGAAATCAACTTGAATGCTGGCTCTTCTTCCAGCAGGATCTGTGCATGGTCTCCAAACACAAGATCACAACCATCAGCTGCGTCGTCCACTTCCGCAGTCCCACCATAGATTGTATCAGCAAAGCCACCACCCACAAGGTAGTCAACACTTCCTGAACCACCATAGAGGGTGTCATATCCTCCATCTTCACAGTCAATTGTCATGAGACTCTTAGGGGAAGTGGATTCATCATAGTACAAAATCTGGGCTGCATCTCCAAACAAGATGTCCATGCCATCACCACCATCAATGGTGTCATTCAAATAACAGCCAATGCCAACATCGTCTCCATCGTTCATGATGAGTGTGTCCGAGCCTCCCTCACCAGGAGCCACAGTGACAATTTCACTCACAGTCCTCACAACACCATCAGTAAAATCACCATAGCCTGTAACAAGAGGTCAATGAATGAGACATACAAAGGGCGCATAGCAGGGAATCAAGCACAGTTGTTCATGAACACGCACCTCCCGCACCAGCGGATGCCACAGCGGTGGTGTTTGTTCCATCATTGCTTGTCCAGATAACACGGCCATAATCTCCAATGAGGATATCAGACCCCGATCCAGACACTAGGACATCATCTCCATCATCACCGAAGAGGATCAACGGAAGAGACGAAGTGGTGCCGTTAATGCTGTCATCTCCAGCCTGTCCATTCGCAATAAACACAGCTCCAGGGTGCGCATCAGCATCAAGATCAACAGTCATAACATCATCTCCGCTTCCTGCGTGGATGGATGTAGTAGTTCTAAGGTCGTTTCCATCCTCATTTGCGGGGATGGAGGTGACGCTCAAGTAATCATCATTCTTCCCGAGCCACAGATTGACACCTGCAGACCAGTGGCCTCCCTCCGCAGAGAAGTAGATATTGCCAAGGCCTTCCTTGATATTTGTAAGAGATGTTGATGTGAGAACTGCTGGGTCACCTTCAGCAGCCATGGAAATACTGCTCTTCTCATCAGACATCATCAACCTGTGGCGGCCAGAGCCTGCCTCGACGGTCACATCCTCCTCCAAGTAATCAAGCCATCCAAGAAGAACGTCAACAGAAGCTGCATTGCTGCTGTCTTGGTTCGCTTCAGAAGAGATGAAGATGTAGTCATCAAGAGACTGAGTGGTGATCTTGGTAGTCGCCGTCGATCCTCTGATGTTCAAGATTGTGTCCCCTGCGCCCATTCCAATATCGAGATATTCTGTGTTTGCATAGACAATGTCGGACGGTCTCTCCTTGATGTCCAAAGTGCTATTCTGGAACATCTCACTCTCAAAGTTAACCAAGTTGTCAGTAATGTACTCGAGGCTTACACCTTGATTCAAGCGTTCTCCAACAAAAGTTACCAAGAAACCTGTTCCCATGTCATACACCTTCACTGATTGGGAGCACACTGTAATTCCAGTGGTTCCGCAGGAGGACTCGTAGCCATCTGGGAACAGTGCATCTTGGATAAGTCCCTCAAGGCCTTCGGCAGTGGTGGAAGCTGGCACTTCTTCGATAATTGATGTAGTTACGGAAGAGTTGAGAGACTCAGTGATTTGGAGATCATACGATCCATTTGTTGCCCCTCGCAGGCTAATCAAGAAAACTTCTCTGGGGGCTTCAGAGGAATCAGGCATTGCCATGCTGTCAACCTCAACCAAGTCTCTGGTGACATTGAGGACTGGATCAGCACCCACGCTGTCCCCAGTGTTGTCAATAACCAAGGAATCCGCATCGGAATCATCAGTACCACCATCAAAAGCCAGAAGCGCCAAGATCTCATCAACTGTGGAGGAATCCGACGACACCTTCACAGTGTCATTGCCAGAGCCACCATGAATGACAAAGGGACCTGATACAGCCTTGACACGGATGGAATCGTCGCCGCCATTGGCGTTTATCACATGCAGAGCTTCCGTGGTATTGACCACTGTGATTTCATCGACGCCATCACCCAAGTTGATCTCAATGACACTCATGTCTCCATAAACAATTCCATCTCGCTGTGCTGCACCGGAAACGACCAAGTTTTGTCCCATATTCATACCATAGAACTGGTCAGCCAGAAGTGTTCCAACAGAAGCCAGTTCTCCTCTCACGTCAAGGTTGTTGATGATGAGAGTATTCACTTGTTTTTCTTCCACAGCATAGAACATGGAATCATCAACTTCATACCCATCTGGCACGACGAACTCATCCGTGTCAGTCTCCCCAGGCATCATCAAGGGGTCGGAAACTGCCGGTACATCAGGGGAATCCGATCCTGCTACCGTAAGAGGTCCCTGAATGAGGGACAGAAAGGATGGTTGTGACGGGAAATTCAACAGATCGACACCCTCCTTGATTGCATCGTTGACAGCCGAAACATAAACAGTTTGCCACTCATACCAGTTGGTGGGAGTGAAAGTCAGAGTTGTGCTGTTGTCCGGAGTGCCACCTTCGGTAAGGCGGACATTGGCTTGAATCCTCTCTGTTGTGCGGATAGCAATCTCTTCATTGCTAACTAAACCTCCAAGCTGGTCGGCATCATCACTGGCTGTTGCGATGGACTCTACTGTGACGGTGACAGTGTCACTTGGTTCCTTTGACAATCGAATCTGGTAGGAGTCTTCAAAGTAAGTGCTGAAGGATGGCTGTGTTGAATACTGGTAAATCCTGCTCTGGTCTGCATCATCAATCTCTGCCGTAGCAGTGGCCCCGTTGGATTCTTCAATGATAACTCCAGCAATGTCGTCGTCATGAATCTTCACTAGCACATTGGATGCAGCAAGGATGCTGTCATCACTAAGAAGGATGTCGTTCCCACTCAGATCCTCAACTGTGTGTCCGAGGGTCACAAAATGCAGACCTTCAGACACAGCATCATTGATAGCCTTCACTGTCACTGTCACCTTGCACTCATCACCCCATTCGTCACCAGTGATGGAGGATGGTGAGAATGTCACTTGCCCAGAAACGGTTTCCGTGATGTTCACAGTGGTAGTTGCCTTCATGTCATCTGTGCATGGTCTCAAGTAGATGTCATATGTCGCATCAAATCCATGGGTATCACCCTCGGCAACAACAGTTTCACCGGTGGGCTCAATGATAGTGACAGACTTTGCCCCTGATGAACCATCCTTTCTGGGAATGAGCATGTTGTAGATGGGCTGGATAGCCTGCTCTGATGTGTTGTACAGGGTGTCTTCAGTTAGGGTAGACAGATCGAGTGAAATAAGGCCACTGTAATCAGTGATACTCAATGGTTCTGCATCAGGATTGTGCCTCACAGTAACATGGTATGGTTCCATGTCACCTGCTGTCCAGGTGAGAGACAACGTTCCTCCATTTGTTGTCTCTACCTCCCCATCTACGGCATTAGCACCTCGAATATCATACCTGTGGTTTGTAAGAGCAAAGTGTGAGAGTTGTAGAAAGAAATAGCCAAGCCAGAATAGGGTTCATCAATCTCCCCTTGGGAACTTACATGAGAATCACATAAGGGTGGTCATTAATCGACATCTGGGAGCCTACATCAACTTGCACCAATCCAGTTGGCTCCACAGTCGGGAAAACATAGAAGTCAAACTCCATATCATCGTCTTCAGTCAGCACGTATGAGGCCGATGTCTCAACCACCTGGATGTAGCCGAGCTCGTCGTTATCGAGCACGTTGACAGCGATTCCCTCAACAAGAAGTCCATTGTATTCCTCATCAGCACTGGCAATCTCGTGTTCAAGCACTCCAGTGTGTCCCTTGGTGTTCTTGGAGATCACAGGATCCACACTGCGGGGAGCAATATAAAAAGTGTCACTGTGGAGCACCAATTAGGCAAAAACGAATGAGAAATGATTCCAGTGTGCCAGGCACCATAACGGATACATCATGCTCTTACCTTCCCAGTGCTCCATAGACAGATGTGATGCTGCATGATTTGTGTGATTGAAGAGCCAGGTCTATGAGGTGAAATCATTGTCTACGAATGTCCTCCAAATGACAACACAGCCCAGCCGAACTTACACATTCGGATTCGTTGAGAGAATTGAGAAGACATCATTTCCTGCCTCTCCAGTGACATCTGGATTGCCACAGATAACCATTAGAGTCACATTCGTAGCAATGCCCACTATTCCACCATGATGAACCTACCTAACATCTCAATGTTCGAGAATCGGACTGACAGACCACCGCCATAAATATTCCCGTCAGTGACCACGTAGTTGTCATCAGCCTCAGTACCAACAATAACAGCTCGATCGTTGCCTGGTGGAGCAAAGGTTAGAAATGGATAGACCACAAACTCCACAGATTGAATAATGAAGGCATCATACCTGTGCCACCATCAACATCAACTCCAGCATTGACAACATACGAAGTCACTGTATCTCCGATCTCAAAGTAGTCACTGTCATCACCTCCAGCAGCTGTGACGTCTCCTGCGTCGCTCTCCAGAGTCTCACCATCCACAATCCTCAGCGCCAAGAAGGAGCGAATGACAAATGTATCATCCCCAGAGTCTCCGTTGAGATCCAGTAGCTGAGTGTTTCGGATGACATCAAAGTAATCCCCTCCACCCTGTCCATTGATCACGATGGTGTGGTGGTTACCATCCGAGAGATATCCTTGGGTCGTCAGAGTTGTGTCAATGGGGTCGTCAACACCGGCCATTTCATCTCTTTCAGAATTGTACTTTTGTCCAATGTGGAACTCTTTGGGAGACAGAGATTCGAGAATTCATGAGTACACTGTTTACATGGAGGACTAATTCACACACTTGAAGCCTGCAAGGGGAAACTCACCATCTCTCTCTGACCCACCGTAGACTGTGTGTAGTGAAGAAAAATCGCATTTGAGAGACCAGAATCCATACAAAAAGTTTTTCCTTGGCTGAGAACTTACCATCAGTTTTCGCCATAGTGTCATCAAAGAACATTTCATTCAGACCCTCATTCAGGCGGATCAGCAAGCTTTGAATGGTAGCAGTTGATTCGAGGTTGATCCTCTCGATTGTACTTGTGTTGGCATCAGGGGTGTGGATATTGGCAAGGAAGTTCTCTCGACTAAGCACGTAGCAAGCAAAGTCAGCACAGTCCAGCTGAATCTTGTTCGTCCCATCATGGTCATCAACAATGTTAATGACACTCTCTCCATAAGAGACAAAGTACGTATCCAGAGTGTCATCGTTCAAACCTCCACTCCACTCAATCGTAGCTCCATCAATGGTGGAGCCCTGTGTGGCTCCACCGTTCACCCGTCCATCAATTTGAAGAGTGTCATCTCCGCCCTCACCCTTGAATACAGCAGTTGTACCAGTGTAGAGCTCGTAGACAGAAAACACATCATCTCCGTCTCGTCCCTCAATCTGGATGTCTCCCTTTGTGGCATTGATGGTGAAGAGATCAGCGTAGGAGCCACCATAGATGTAGGTGGATGATCCCAGGGGCGTAGATGTGACGGTCAGGTCATTGGCTGTGTCGGACAAGGACACATCAAGGACTTCGAAGGTGTTGTATTCGAATGTCTGGTTCTCTCCAAGAAGGAAACCATCTAGGAACTTGGACGAAATGGTTTCCACCTTGCCTGATGATGCTGGAGTATCAATGATAATCAGAGTATCACCCGAAACACTGGGTCCTCCGATTACATCGAGGTCACCATAGATGAGGTTTACACCATTGTTGGCATCTCCAACAGTCACAGTGTCATCACCAGATCTTCCATTGATCTTCACAGAGAGCGTTGTAGACAGGGTGCTGTCCAAAGTGACTGTGTCATCACATTCAGACATTAGGAACTCAAAGATTTGGAATGCAGGACCAAACGAAAATGATTTGGTCAGCCCATCCGATGCTCGATACAAATCAATGGTGGTGGAATCACCGCTCGTTGACACAGTCAAGGAATTCTTGCCATCAGGGCAACTAGTAGAAGTTCCGAAATCAATAAGCACACTGGTAACAACAAGAAGGTGAGATTTGCTGAGAACAACACATGGCCAGATACAGCGACTGCCCTTACCTGGCTTCATTCTGACCACCAGTTGCAACCACAGAACAACCAGATTGAATGTTCGCAGCATCGATGACTAGGTTGGTGTGCCCATCAAGGGTGTAGGGATGGTTACAGTCGCTCAGTGTGGTTGTTAGATCCTGAACCTCAGGAAATGGAAGGGTCAGGTAGCCTGCCTGAATATTATTAAACTTCACGTTGGCAAGTCCTGCCTGGATCGCCATCGCCTCAATTACAATGGCTCCATTGCTCAGAATTGTTGTTCCTGAGGTATAGTAGTTGAGTGACAAGGTGCCAACATCTCCAAGGTCAATGGGAGACTGAATGCTGGTGAAGGTGGCATCTGTACTGCTGGTTAGCACCATGCGGCCCGCATATGATCCATCGTAATGAAGCATGTCGAGAACACGGCCGCTTGCACCACTAGTAGTTAGGGAAAGTTGTGAAACGCCCTCGCCAGTTGCAAACTTCTGCCCAATGGCACATTCTATGGTTTCCTCTCCGAGGACTCCATCTTGAGAAACACACACCAGGCCAGAGGACTCAGCCTCACTGGTAGCGGTCAAAACAAGTTCACCACCCTCCACTTGGACAACTGGCGTCACACCAGGTGGAGAGATCTCAATTGGCTCAATAAGCTCTTCACGAATGGAGTATGACAACTCATAGATAGTCTGGTGTTCAAGACAAAGGAGGAACGTAAGAGCCGTGGACGTACACACACCAGGTTGGAGTGCACAACCCCAAACTTACAATCTTGTCAAAGATCAGCCAGATTTGAACTCTGATGTACATTTCCAGTTCAAAGTAGATGGAGAGCGTGAACTCGAACCAATTCATGGGATTTAGACCCTGGTAGGTGATTAGCTCGTAAGGACGCACAAGTCCACCACTGGTTTCGGGGAATGGATCAAAGATGTCAGCAGTAGCAACAAATCCAACTGTGGCTGTTAGTCCAACTTCGAGAAACACAGCATTGGCATTGATATTGAGACCAACAGATCCAGCAAGGATCAGAATAGGCTCATCCACATCATCAAATAGATCCATGATGGCAAAACTGTTGAGAGCCTTGATAGGCTCCTTTTGTGTGACAGCTTCTCTGATTCCCTTGGTGTCCAAAGAGACACCATATCTCAACGTAGATGAAAACTCTAGCAGGATGCAGAGCTCAACAAACGGTGGTGTGTACAAAGTGTAGCAAAACTCAGCTGCAAGAGCAAACTCAAGAGCTTCTGGTGCGTACTCAACGAGACCCTGCAACAATCCAAGGAATCAACACAAACAGAAATTAGCCATTTGAGAATTTGTTTGACAAACAAAGACCAAGCCAAGACCAACACTTACAAAGTCATCACCAGTGATGAGTCCAATCATAACAGTTGGATCGGACAGGAATGGGAATGAAAGACCATCAATGCCGTTGGCCACGCACTTGACCTTCTCCTTCAGGCATTTGGCCTTCTTTACTTTCTCACTAGTTGTTGAACAAGAACCCGAACAACAGGTGGAACAGTCACCGTCAAAAGTTCCATCTGTACAAGTGGACCCATCAGTATCACATGTGCCCAGTCGACGCCTGAATTCAAAGTCTGCAGGGGAAATCGGAAGTCCTTCCTTGTTGGTCAAGGCAAAGATTTCATGGGCACCTTCCGTGACCTCAAGTTTTCTCCCTTCCGCTTCGTCACCCTCATCTTCACCGAACAGACCACCAGTACACTCAAAGCCAGCAAGAACGTCGCATTCATCTGCGATTGTGATCACTCCATCTTCTGTGAAGTCCTCCACAAAGGTTTTGATTTTCTCATAGGTTTCTAGGAATGTGCGAACTGCGGCAACACCCCTGGCAGCCTTTGGATAAGCTTCACCAGCATCGAGGATCGTCATTTCTTTCCCGGTGAGATCAGAGACTCCTGGGATGGGATCATTGAGAGGGAGTAGTGGAGCGGCGAGCTCATCAAGAGCGCCGTCACCGTCAGATGTCACAAAAATTTCAATAGCAGGGGTGAAGACATCCACAAGCTTTTGAGTGTCCATTTCCAAATTCTGAACCAGAAGGCATCCTGTGGAGGGATCGTCCTCGGGGATGGCGCAGTATTCTGCACTGAAGTCGTACCCTGTGGCTAGAGTATCAGTGAATGTCAGAGACCTCATTGTCTCCATCAGCCTTCGTGCGTTGTGTTCGGTCGGCGAGAGTCGTCCCAAGCCAGCAAGGTCTCTTTCGACCCTTTCAAGCCGCCTTGTGTTGGCACCTGGTGCAGACGTGGGCGCAGGAGAAGGTGCAGGTGTTGGGTCGTCGGTGGTGATTTCCTTGTAGAGAACGCCAACGATATCTCCGGAGAGTTTGGGCACATAATTTGCAGCATCACCAATCAATTCGTCACTAACAGAAAGCTCCATGTGGGTACCAAAAGTTGCAGCTGCTCTGACCAGTGGCTGGAAGAAGTCAGTTGAGATACCCTTGAAGTCCGATAGTGACATACGACCATAGTTTCGGTCAGTTGCATTCTCTTCGGACGATAGGCGCAATCCAGCAACCTTATCAAAGTCAATGAAGAAGCCTGCAGCAATATCACATTTCGTGTCTGTTAAATTCGCATCCAAGAAATTAAACAGCGATGCGGTAATGGAAGGCGATGTCACAGAAAGGAGAGCTTCAATGCTGATCTCCGTGTCTCCTGGGAATGTGTCGAGGAAGAGTCCTGTTTCAATATCATATCCAATACCCAATGTGAAAGACCACCCAATAGTTAGCACGATTGGTTCGTCATCGGCTTGAGTGAAATTCAGGTCAAGGGCAAGCTTTGTATCGAGCTCAAAATCAAGAGGGATTTCAAAGGTCAAAGCTGCTCCTCCGAGTGGGATCTTCCACTCAATGGATTCAATGGAGCCATCATTGTCTGCGCATGGGCAATCATCTCCAGACAAGAAGTTGCCATCATCGTCTTCGCCACAACCACAGATAGGCTCCACTTCTTGGTCCGGAACTAGATAATCGGCCAGTACATCGTTCAGCAAGCTAGCCACTTCTTCGGCAATTGTTCCACCGAGTTCACCCACTAGTGTGTCAAGTGCATCGTCAAAGGCTCCTGCAATTTTGGCACCAGCTTGCTTGAACACACTGGATCCACTGGTGCCTCCACTGCCAGCACCCAACGAAGTGGCAATCTTCTTCTTGAGGAATGGGATATCAATACTTGTGATGAAACCACTAGCACCAAATGTGAAACTATCAATGCGATCAAAGAATTGCTGCACGGCATCAACAAAGTTTGAAAATGCCCCATCACCCAACATGAGATCACCGATGCCAGGGATAACGAGATCCGCAAGGTGGCCCAAAGACGTGAAAGATTCCAATGAAAACTCTAGCGTACCACCAACGGTTTCGGAAAAGCTTCCCATGCTGGTCGAATCGCTCAAGATGTCAAAGATGGCAATCTTTGGTGTCGAAAACAAGGTCTGGATGTCCGGGAAGCTCATACCAAGATTCAAATTCACATCGACACTGGGAATCTCAGCCTTGAATTCTCCCTGCACCCCTCCCGCCCAGACACCTGAAAGCTTTGTAAGCAGCCCCGTAACACCATCAACCACCTCAAAGGACGATGGTGTGGCAATCCTATCTGGGAAGCTCGCATCAAGGTAGTAGTTGAAGCTTGGATCAAGACTGACATCCAGTGACAGCCCATCCAGGGGGCCTCCTCCGTCAATAAAGTTCAAATCAATACCGAACGTTCCAGCAAAGGGGCCAAGCATTCCGTCAAAGCCAAGAACGCTACCGTCAGTGCCACCATTGAATCCCATTTGCAGGCCCGAGGTTCCCAGCATGAAACAAGTAGTTCCTTCGAAAGCTGCTGTGCCGTCGGGTGGACTCAATTCAACTGTTCGTTCAAGCCCAATCCCGGACTGGAACTTGATGGTTCCGTCGAAAGTAATCTCACCAAAGCCATTTGCAGGGATAACGTCTCCAAGAAGAGCATTAATGGCAGTGGAGACTTCGTCACCGGCAACGTCGACGCCATCAAGGATGTCGTTCAAGCTGAGACCCAATTCTTCGAGGAAGGAAAGAGACCATTCGAGGACAAGGTCCACCGTCAGCGTGGCACGGGTAGTAGTACCATCATCATCAGTCGCTACGGAAGTTGCAAACGTAACGCCCGCAGTTCCTCCGGTGCTCGCGACCACATCTGCTAAGGCAGACTCCAGCTTCTCTTCAAGAGCAGTAAATGTCGTATTAATGCCCTCATCGACTTCGCCAACCAAGTAATCAATCAGGTCAGTGTACGCGGAAAGCAAATCAAGCGAAGCGCACGGACGCTTTCCCAAAACTGGACAACAAAACAAAGCAGCAGCGACAGCAGTGCAAGGAATTGTTATGTTAGCTTTTGCAACGAGAGGACATATCCAGAAATCAACACAGGCCGGAACTTACTTGGTATCTTTTCGAAGAATGGATTCTTCCCAAGGAGGTCAAAATTCAAAAGTCCGTCAGAGCAAGACTCAACAGAGCCGTCACCAACCAAGAACGTCTGAGTTAGCGACATACAAGAAACAACATCTTTGTATGTGATGAAGCGGACGTCGCCAACGTTGGGAAGGTCGACATCGAAAGTGATGTCCGGTTTGGTAGGGTTCACAAAGTCAACGTCAAAGGGTGTAGTAAAGTATCCATTCGCTGACGCCGACACCGAGAACGGTGCCAAGGCATCCACCGTGGCTGTAAAGGAGCCGTCAACGGTAGCCGAGGCATCAAAGTTGTTCAGAGACACAATATCTTGCACCCAGTCAGAGTAAGCTGTGTACTGGTCAAGCCCACACGTTAAGGAGACGTTTCCGCCAACCTCTGAAACAGCAACCGTTGCCGCCACACTGATCACATCATTAAGGTTGGCAGTAATGTCAGCAGAGCCCGACAGCGACACCGTGGCTTCTACCTTGGACTGGGCAACCATGAGCTGGAAGCTGACCTTCGAGGTGACCTGATCCTCCAAACCATACGAGTTTGCAATCTTGTAGGGCACATATCCGTCTGCGCACTGGAAGACCTTGGAGCTCATGTCGACAATGCTGCTGTTGGTCGCATCTTGACAGTACTTTTGGGCGTCGAGTTCAATCTCACTAATGTCGGGATCAAACTCGATATTAATCAGATTCGAGCCAATTTCGGTGATGGTGGCAATCCCATTGGGAAAGTTGCCAGTGTCCATGGCGTTGAGGGCAGTCAAGAGAGTCGAAGACGCATTGGAGGTCGACGAGGCGGCCGCGGGCACAGTAATCACGTGGTTGATCGGGTCACCGTCTTGAATGACATAGGTAATGTTGAACTGGGTCTCTTCTAGAGCGCATAGAAAACCAGAAGTGTCGGCAGTGTTGCAAGCCGTTCCCAACATTGTGAGAGACTCTGTCGAGTCAGGACCCAAGACGATAGCAAATCCAGTCGAAAACGACGCTGATGCCGTCAAGGCAAGGCTGGCACTTTCAATGGCAACGCTTCCAAAGTCTCCAAGATCTCCATCAGGTGGGCTCCAATTGGCGTCAATGGTGTTATCCTTGCCCACGACAATGTTGAGTTCGTAGCGGCCATAGTCATCCCCTGCGGGTGCAACATATTCAAAGCCAATGGTGACACCAGGAAACTGGGTCGTCACAGCATCTAATGAAGCAAAAACACAGCAAGTGTCAGATGGAATTCACACATGGGGTAGACATGCATCCCATCCAGTCAGCCAGTCAGTCAGTCGCGACTCTTTCACTACTTACTCGCCAAGGTATCGACAAAGTCGACAATACTGTCAAACCGAGGCACCAACTCGGGCGTTGCCGCCTGATTGAGAGGGAACCCATACAAGTTGGTGGGACCGGCACGCACCGACGCTTCTTCGTTCAAACTGAGAAAGACGACATCGGTAGTATTGTCCGCATCCACCACCGAAGTAATGTACATGCGGTCGTTGCCATCATCATCCAAGTAGGTATCGACCACGACATGACAGGTATCAATGCAACTTCCTCGAATATCCAACGTGGGAGCCGACGAGGCATCATCGCGAGTACAAGCGTTGGCTTCGGCCATGCGGCACACGTTAATGGTACAGGTCGCAGTCTCGTCGACCACGGCTTGTGCGAAATCTTCGACCGTACTCATATTGGCCGCCAGCGTAAAGGGACAAACGGTGGATTCGGCCAAATCATCGACGGCAGCAAGGTCACTGGGATTAGCCAATAGATCCGGCCCAAGCGTGTAGACCAACTCGTACGTCTTGCCGGCACTGGCACTCAAGGTGGAATCAAAGGCTTCGGAACTCAACAAGGTACGCGATTTCTTGGGGCGCACCGACAAGGCTTGTGGAATGGCCACGTAGTACTTGTTGGCCAAAAAGACAGATCCGGTGGCAAGGGCAGTGGAAAAGGTAGTATCCGTCAATGGGATACTGGTGGTGAGAAAGTACTCGTGTTCTTGCAGACGAAAGATGGTGGCTTCAATCTGTCGCAACATGCGAAGCAGATTTGCGGGTGAAAAGCTGACAAATCCATCGAGGTCATTCAAGTTGGAAACGGAAATGGTGGGGACGTAATTGTCCATGATTCCCGTTCCCGAAATGGTAAAGTCGGCACTGGGATCCAATGTCAATCCAGGCACGGTGGACGTTGCCGTGACGGTTCCACCAATGGTGTACGATCCCGTAATGGTCAAGTACACATTGGACGTTCCCAGTTGACTGTCTCCACAGGCGGCCGCATCATCAAAACAAAAGGTGAATCCGACGGACAAGTCGGCATTGGCGGTGGATGAAAGCTCGAGGACACCCAGTACCAAATTCAAGTCGACCCCTCCATCGACGGCACTCATGGTACACGTAATGGGATCAATGGCAAACTGCGGTTCCGTGACTTTGCCTTGCGCGTCGGGATCAAAGAACACAGTGAGTTCCGCCGCGACGATCACCGTGGCGGTGACGGTCATACTCGCCGATGTTTCCACCAATACATGTGATGCAGATGCATCAAACAATCCGTTGGTATCCAGGGTCACCGTCTGGGAGTAGGGGACACTCAAACAAAAGGCAATTTTCATTTCCTGATGATTGGCATCGACCCAACTGGCTTCAATGGGCTCTGTTTGCGGAGTGGCACTGGGACAAAGCGCGGACTCATCACTGGAATAGACTTGGACGGTGGTACCCGTCTGTGCATCGGCAAATTCATTGAGGAGGCGTTGCACATCTTCTGCCGGCAAGGTGGCATCCGTGTTGGATCCAATCTTTTCGGGAACAAACTCGGTGAAATTGAGGGCGGCATAGATTCCTCCATCTCCGACGACATCCTTGACCGAGACTCCAATCAAGGGAATGGTAACATCGAGATTGCCAACGGTGGCAATCTCGAGAAAATCTGCCGAAAAGGCGTCCAAGGCTTCGTCGAGAATGGTCGATTCGGCTTCGTGCTTGGTGGGGGATTGCGACGGGACATCGCTGGGAGAAGCACTGGGTTGTGCCGTGGAGGGGGCTGGCGAGGGCGCCTTGGTAGGTGCTTTCGTAGGTGCGGCTGTCGCTACCGTGGGCAGGAGTGCCGCCATGGCCATCCAGGCAACTGTGGAAAGTAGCTTCATAATGACGATGGATCTTTGGTTCTTCTTCTTGAGTTGGTCGGTATCTTTCGTTCTTGGCAAGGGTATCTTCTTTCTCGTTTTAAAGCTTTGACTGTGGTTGGGTTTCTCTTGATCTTTCAACCAAAGCAATGTAAATGAATCTAGGGGTATATACGTAAAGGCGTGTAGTATGTATGTAGATGTGTAGTTGTGTAGCAAGTATCTTGAGGTCAATACAATGTATCTTCTTCTGAAGGTTTTCGTTTTCTAAGTTTGTGATTGTATGGACCGGTTGCTCTGCTCTGCTCTCATGTGCTGAGCTGTGCTCGACTAGACTCTCGAAGATCTTGTCTTCGTGTTGTTGTTGTCTTGACTATATACTACTGGTATACTAGTATTGGATGAGAGATCGATGCGTCTGTGACTCATTTATTATTGATCCTCGTTTGGCTTTGGCGAAGCCTACTGAGCACTGATACAACAACAAACCTCAAACTCAATGGTTTGCTTCTGTGCTTGCCTTGCTTTGAAGCTAACTCAAGCTCGATGGATACTACTATTGGATTCTGTATCTTCTGCAATGTCCCTCGTAGAAACATGGCCTACAACGGTACCTTTGCAATTAGCAAGCTATCAAGAACTCCAACCAAGCAAACCCACTGGGCTTGTCGTAGCAAATGGGTCCTCTAAGTCATGCCGTAAACTTTCCATTCGTATTCATGCAACCCATGTCCTCGAGTCTTTGGAGAAAGCGCATAGGGCTTTCCCAAAGCACCCAAGAATGCAAACCAAAGAGGTATTCGCTCTTGCAGGCAAGGAAATTACTTGTAGTGGGGATTTGGGCTCAGCCGCCTCCAAACTGCCTCTGTGCAGTATCAAAAGATCTCTCGCCCTAATTGTGTTCTGTTACAAGTTATTTCTTTGCATGACGTCATCAGAAGCATTAACAAAGATCACAATACTTCTAATTTTAGTTACAGTTATCATTAGTCTCGTCAGCGTGTTTCCGAAAGCTCGAACTCCGTTAACCATCCAACCGACATTGCAAATCCATTGGGATTGTGGTCCAGTTTGGGTGGAGAACCCCGGGTCGGGAAAGAATTAAACGAGGATGAGATGCTTTCTCGTTTGAGACGATTTGGAGAGGTCATTACCGCATTAATAGCCACTCGACCAACCATCGATAGATTTGATTCAGCGAAGGCGGCCACACACCGGTCCCATGCTGGATTTGGAGACTGCTTCCAGATTCGATTCATTCAAACGATTGGCTGACTGATGAATCGAATCGAATCGAATCATCATTTGAGATTCTAAGACTGGATGAATGGTTTGGGCCAAATAATAAACGATCCCGCTCCCCGAACCGGTCAGCTCGACGGCCTTCATTGGGATCCTCGTAGTACTACCGTACCATGCAGCCAAAATTCTAGCCATGCTGGTTGCCATGGTTGGCTGCCATGTTACTGGTACCGGTACCGTTCTTGCTTAGACCCCAGCCAATGAACCAACTGGCTACCTTTCCAGCTTTCCAACCAGCCAACACTTTTCAAAGAGCTCGTCAGAGTCCCATATCATCATGGAGCCTCTGCAAGTTTTGCTTGGCTGATGGTAGAGAGACCAAACCTCAGTTCGTTGCACCATCTCCGCCAATGATCCTCTCAAGCCAGTTAGCTAGCTAGTCACGGTCTCTTGCAGACTGCCAGACTGTCATACTACTATAGCCAGACGTCACGGTTGGTTCCGTACATGCAAACGATGGGATTCGCAATCTGGTAGATGCAAGAGGCTCAGCCACAGTTGCATTTGATAGATCCTTTCATGCATGTAGACATGCTCCAGGCTGGTAGTTGTAGTGTTACTTTTGTTTCGACCCACCGTACCACACCCCACACTCGTGGACTTGAGCGCTTTGAGTGCCGTCCCAAAGAGTTAGGTAAATCAGATTGCTTCGGGTCCCGGACACACAAAAGATTTATTTACATGTACTTTCAATAAAGCTCCACCTCGTGTTGTACGTGTGTAGCTATTAGTAGCTAGTTTTCGTCGTGTTTGCCCAAAGAGTTGCAGCTTAGTTAGGTGGAAGATGTGGACCTTCATGCGGAGTATCAAGAAGACCGTAATTTGCAACCTGATGTCTTCAGATCATTGTCAACCATTATAGATTCGAGGTGAGTTGACTGCAGGTCGCAGTAGTCTACAGTATGTTACCGGTAGGGCTAGCCAATAAAAGCTTTCATCAGGGGCCACTCAACAATCTCTCCACTGCAACAGAACTTGGAGCGAACGCTCAGAGTGTAGTTTGGTATCTACACGGTCAAAGGACAGGACCTGAACATGAGTAATAACATATCATCATCTAGTTAGTACTACCAAGATTCACATTAAATAATGCCACAGTGGAAGCACATACTACTAGTAGACTGCTCTAGCTAGGACTATAATAGTCACAACTAGTCAATCGTTCAGTGAATTGTTTACATATCGCTGCCACTGTTGGAAATGCTGCCAGCAGAAACCTCCCTCATAGCTGCAGAAGGGCCGCCACCTTTTCGCACCGTGTGATTGTTCCCGTACCCAAACAATTCATTGATATACTTCGTATCATCAATCTGTCCATCACTGTTAGTGAATTTGGCTTTTGCCAGAGCAAAGTATGCCGCCATGGTCAAGAGGGAGTCACTGCCAGCTTGATGCTCTGCTCCGAGTCGCTGGCATCCGAGCTCATCCGCAATACGTTGAAGACCTCCGTGAAAACGATGCCCATCCAGGAGACTTGTCATGTACTTGATGTCATAAATACAGGGAAAGTAAATCTTGAGGTACTCAAAGAATGCCTTTTGGTCGACTGGAAGGTCTATGGTGGTCAGAAGCTTCAAAAAATAGCCATAGTCATACCCAGAGTGGAATGAGACCCATTTGACACGATCATCCAACACTAGACCTGACACCATTAGGAGTTCTCCAAAAACCAATGGATCAATGCCCCGAGTGGCGTGATCTTCAAAGGAAATTCCAGATTTGATGAGTAGATCAATCGAGTCCTGCGCAAACATGTCGCCATGAAGATTGAATTTGAAATTGAACTGCCAACAGGGACATCCTGGACAAAAATTTCCATTCTCATCGGCAAAGCTCAATCCCAACTGGATGATTTTTAGCAAGTCAACATTGACTTTGAGCGCCTTGTATTGGTAGTCGGACGTGTAAGCTTCTGTGACGGGTTTTGCCACCACACCTGGAAATTCCGTGTCCATGGCCACATAAGGATATTTTTCAATGACTGATCGAATCACTGCCATTTCTTCCCGAACATTTTCGGCCCACACGTTTCTAATTTCCAGAGTCTCGCTGAGGATAGAAAGAGAAAATGAGTTGATCGAACCAAATGATATCATACAGGAAAGACAGAGGAGATGCCAATAAGGCATCCATGAGAATTATTGCTCACCCTTGGTACTGGAACGTGTACTTGGGAAGAGCATTCGATTGCGCGTTTCCACTGGGACCACTACCACTACCAGTTGGATGTGGAGATGTGGACCGCCCCATGTGCGGTGAGTTGGACCGAGATCGACTTGCAGGTTTGTAGCCACCCGAAGGAGACCCCAAAAGAGCACCTCGCTGCGGATCGAACGGCGGTGACTCCGTGGAGAGTGGAGACTTGGTCAATGGAGCTGCCATTGCCATTGGATTGAACTGAATAACTAACTATAGCCACCTCTTGGGTTCAAGTTTGTTGAGTTACTGCACTGCAACCAACAGCTGCAACACGGTGTTTGGACGTTGCCTCGGCGGTGTTGCTGCCAGCTGCCAAAACCCTAACGCTTTTCAGAAAGGTTTTTTGATTTCAGCAGATTCTGGTAATTCTGATGTTTCTCCAATTATTAATTTCTAAAATAAGTCTTTTTCTCAGTTTTACCGTGAGCGAGCGAACCGGACACCGGACCCCAACAATCTCGGAGGGAGGGGGAACGGAATCGAATCAATCACCCAACCCTCAACCCTCGACCCTCGCTGCCTCCACAATCCAGATTTTCGCTCCGCAAAGGCCAAGTTTTCATCATCACTTTCTCTACCTACGTAGCTAGCTAGTAGTCAACACTGCGTTTTCTACTATGATACGTGTCGCTGTTGCAGGAGAAACGCCCAACTGGTCTAGAGCTAGAATAACTAGCTAGGTCGCAAAAAGTAGCTTTGAAGATGGATTCGATCCATTCATTGCAAGCATTGCAAACAAAACTACCTATGTCGATGGATGGATCATTGCAATGATGGATTGCAAGCATAGCAATCATATCAAGCATTCTACGTATATCCCTCCTTTTCGAGTCCCTTGGTCATTTCTGCCACGGCATTTTTCCCGTGTTTGCGAATGGCATTCCTCCATTTGCGTCCATCGGGAAACCACGCCCAGACCCAGGAAAACTCTCCCGGCACGGTATTGTACAGGGCATACCATCGCAGTATATTGCCGGGCAATAGAAAATACTCCAACAATCGCACTTGTTCATTTTCGCGAATGGACGCTTGTGGAATTTTAATGGGATGTTTGGGTGCCATGGTCCATCGCAATGGTTTGGCTACAACTTTCGGGCTGGTATTATTGACCCACGCCAAAAAATCAAGTGTATTGTCGGCATGAATGGGTTGTGGTCGAAAGGTTAAACTAAAATCGCACGGTATCACCGTAGGATGACTGCCGGACCAATATTCGGCGGCAAATCGTCCCGTTCCAAACGATGGCGGCCATTGTTTGTGCATGCCCATATTTATGCGGGATTCCAATTGCATATACAGCGCATCCTTGACGACGTGTTCCATGTGTCCTTCAAATTGCAACGGTGGCAATAATTGCGTCAAATAATCGCACCGGGCAATCCAAAAATTGCCCGCCACAAAAATGCCTCGTTCGGCTGTCAAAAACAAAGAACAGAGCGTACAGACTTCCATGGGCGGCGCCAAACATTTTTCGTGTGTCATGGCGGCCATCATTTTATTCCGCCATCGATCGTTGATTGCAGAAGTGTGATGACTGCCCTTGTTGTGAATGTACATGACGCGGCGTGTTGTATTTGTAACGAGGGCATTGTTGTTGTTGTTGGTAGCGTCGGCGTGACAAAATTGTTGCACGTGATGGAGCGTCAATTCTTCGCGTCCATCGTCGTACTGTCCCAAATGCCGGCATTTGAAATTGCGTTCTTTGCACAAGGCTTGAATGACAGCCGAATTGAGGGACGAAGTCAGTTTACCAATGGTTTGATAGAAAATGGTGACCCGTGTCAATTGGGGTGCTTCTGACTGTTGGAGAGCATCCAGTTGTTCGGTAACGATTCGAAGTGCTTTGCCTCTCTTTTTAGAGTCGTGGGGGAGATAGACATGAAAGAAAATGGGCACGGCCGTATCTTTGGGTAGCTTGGCATGATAATCGTAAGGGGGAGGATCGTGGGGAAATCGTCGTTTGACAACTAGTGGCAAGGATACGGGTGGAACATCCAATACAGCCGCCGCTTGAGTAGCAGCGGGATTTTCCGTAAAGAATTGCCAGTGGAACAAGAGTATTACCGTCACCAGTGACATGGCCATGGGTTCCAGCAGTCGTCGTATCCGGGATGACGTGGGATCATTATTGTTATTGTTGATACAGGCATCGACTGGTTGATGAATCTTCATTCTGGAAATGCAATTATTTATGAAGAGAGAAGATTGTCGTTGTTTGGGTTTGGGAGAAGGAGTCCGTGTGTTTTTTCTATAGAGTGTTGGAGAGGCATCGGTGGTAGCATGGCCATTATTATTATTGGTTGGGACTACACCTCTTCTGGTAGTTGGAGAGTTGCCGTTCATTGTGGATAATGCATAAAATATATAACTTTATGCAGAGATACAAGTGCTTGACTTGACTTGACGTTATGGGGTGCTGATGTTATGATACAGTACAGATCACTCATCCCAATGGCTTATTAGGCATCCCATTCAGCTTTCATGCAGGATGTGGTCATGGTCTACATCGTACATACTGAAAAGGGACCGGCGGCTGAGCAGAGAAAAAAACTCTGGACAACCGTGACGTGGACTGAGGACCCACACTTGCTCTGTCAATCATTGACAACATTGAATGGGAACACCCGTTCAATAGTAGACTACGGTACCGTACCCGTTCACCCCATTATAAGATACGTACCGGTTGGGGTAATGGAACATCTAGTTAAAAAAAAAAGGATTCAATCATTCAGCAAGTCTCAGTATCTTTCTTATATATCTTATAGCCACTATCTATAGCTTGCAGCTATTGTCACATACCCTACCGTACTACGGTATACCGTACTAGCTAACCATGCCATCGGACAGTGAGGATTTGATTGATTCACCAAAGCAAGCCCAAGAAGGCAAAGGTGCAAAAGGCAAATTTAGAATTGATGAAATCAAAGATGCTGTGGAGATATGGATGGTGATGTGGAAGGTAGTGGCAACTACTAGCTAGTAGCTGCCCTCACGCCCCACATAGTACAGTAGTTGTAGTATTCTATTAGCTTAGGATTGGAGAAGTTGGTACTCTACAATTCTGATAAAGTTGATTTTTTAGACCATTATTGAACTTCATGTACTGTACATTATTTGCTCGGTATCTTGAGCCCTTTTATCTTACGTAAGAGTGAGGAGTGTGAAGTCTGAACTTCTTTAGGACTTTCGCCCTTCCCCCAGAGAACAAAAGAGAACAATTTTGGCTGGGTTCTTGTAGAAATAATGATTTAAATCAATATTTCCTACTAGTAGCTAGTTCCACAGTAGCAAGACGTCATTCGAACGAATTGAGCAAATAGGATACAAACGTCTTCCGTTATTGTTATCACTTTAGTTGTCTCATTCCATTGACATTAATCCTTGAAGTACCGTGTGCTCCCCCCTACTGTTGAGCACTGGCGGAAACCAGTTTGCAGCGATGCGAGATGCGAGACCAGTTTTGGAGTACGGTAGCTTTTGGAGTCCAGTTCTTACACCATCCATTGCACTGTCTACCTGCACGGTGGCTTGTCCAGGGAAACATCGGTTCTGGTTTCTAGCTAGTCTAGCTAGCTAGCTAGCGTCATAATACTCACAATGATACAAGAAGCAGAAGAGGACACGATGATGCCGCAAGGACGACGCAAGAGGTCTCGAAGTGAAATGACAGGGGATAGCTTAGGTGGTGGAGAAGGGGTGCTGTTCACCATGTACAGGGAACGTTGGGGCAGGGATCTGCATCAACGAGAAGCCTACACAACATACAACCACCAGAGCCATTCCATGCCAAGACGACAAGCTACAGCACACAACTGTATGATTGATGATGAGTGCTCTCCTCGTCAGTCTCCATGGAGAACGACCAACTCATCCTATAGCAGTGCCAGACACTGTGGAAAAAGACGGAACTACCTTCTCTTGTTGCCAGTCTGGATAGTGTTGTGGTTCTCGCTCCTCATGGGCGAGAGCCATGCCAGTGTGGCGTGCAACACCACCGAGCAGTGTGTTGCCATCTTGCAACAACCGGGCAGTAGTACTGATTGCGTCGATGGCTATTGTACCAATCCGTTTCAAGAGGGATGTCTGCGACACTATCTAGGCACAGACCGATTTCCTTCCAAACGGACCTGCAATTCCGAAGATATGATCTTTTCGGAGGAAACACAAGAATGGGTGTACGATGACACCCATTGTCAGATATCGCCCTTTGGTTATTCGGAAATTCGAATCCTCAGTCAAAATTGGGAATCGGCCATGTTCACATCGTGGATTCTACAAATTGTCTTGAGTGAATTGGCACAAGTGCCGGCCACGATCGAATCGAGTGGCCCCAATCGACAATTGAATTTTTACGATCCTGCCATGAGTTTCAGTTATGGAGCTTTGGGATATGATTTTGATGCCCTCCAACGGGCCAATACCGTCTTGCTAGGTGCCACTTGTCCGCGGCAATGGCGGCAGACGGACAATGCCACACTCTACCAGAGTTGCGCCCATGTCATTACCGAAGTCTGGAGTGGGCATGCCCCGACTGTGGCCGAATTGACTGCTGCGAGTGTTTTGGAACCTCCGGAAGGCACGGGCGCGGTCGGCAAACTCAGTTGGTTCCTGCCCAAATTCGTGGCAAAGCGCGATCCCAGTCTCACTCATTGGTTGGGCATTGCCGGAGACTTTCATCGCCGGAAAGTCGCATCTACCTTTTATACCCCCACCACGTTTGGACACTACTGTCGCGAGATTGTTCCCCACAATTGTACCATTGAAACGTTATTTGCCAGTCGACCACCACTCGATGAAGCAGAAGCCGACAAATATTTTGTACCGGGAGGTATTTATCAAGGTTACTTTCGATATACCGAAGAAAACGATTGCGACTTGCATCCGACGACGTGTCACGGACACATTGCCGATGTCCCGTGCGAATGGACTACCTTTGTCACACCGCAAGCGTATCATTTAGATATTGCCGTGGCGTCGAAAGGTTCGCTCGAACCCAATCATGCCTATTCCTATGGACAATTGCTCGATATTTGGGCCGCGGCCAATGCCACCCAATCGGCACTGCTCTTTTATTGGTGGTATCCCGATCCTACTTATCAACGTTATTTGGGGACGGATGCGGAAATGCAAGCGGTCCAATTGCCACCGCCGCAACAGGAATGTGTCACGCATCGAGTGACACCGGCCCAACGGTGTTCTGCCAACAGTACCGAACGACGAGCCGATGCTGTCGGGGCGTGTGATCCGGAAGCCCATTCCTTGTGGAAATTGATCATTGCCAATCTGTATCCGTATCTGCAAGGGCGAATGCCACAACTCGACAATAACAATCAGAATGAATCGTCCAGTGATGACACAATGACAACAATGACTATAAATGTTGGTGATCCCAACATTGCCAAATACGGACGAGCATTTCAAAGTCCCGCCTACGGGGTTCTCCAGGCACTCTCCATTACCGAATTGCAATTGGGAGATATGCTAGAGGCGTGGGAATTAAAGGGAGTCGACCAGTGGAATTACGATCCTCGCGAGGCCGTCTGCGAATGGATGGCCGCCAATGTCGACACGTTCCAAACATGGATCCCACGAACGTATCCTCGCGTCTTGCAACAAGAACGATACAATCAGGATACACCCGTGCTGCATGGGATTGCCGTCGGATTGGCCAGTACCGTGATTTTGGGGGTCGTGGCCGTGTCGTGTGCCGTCTATTATTGGCGCAATCGACCCGTCCTCATGTTTGCTCAAGTCGGATTCTTGACGTTTGTCTTGTTGGGATTGTTATTGGTCAGTCTCGCCGCATTGTTCAAGGCCGTTGAACCACGGGATGGAGTGTGCGTGGCACAACAGTGGCTGCTCTTGTTGGGCTTTACGCTGGAATTGGTACCGTTAATTGTCAAAGTCGGAGCCATTCATCGCATGATGCAAGCCGCCAAGAGAATGAAACGCATCACGCTGCAAGTACGACAATTGTACGGGACGGTGCTCTTGTGTTGTGTGGCAGCGGTATTGCTCTTGTCCATTTGGACAGCCGTGGATCCATCCCAACGGACCAAAGATATCACGCTGCATCCCGATCGAATCACCGAGCATGGGGAAACCATTGTCACGGTCACGCATTTTTGTGCTTCGGAAAATACCGTTTGGCGATATACCAGCATGATTTGGCAGTTGATACTGTTGCTGTGTGCCACCATTCTTGCCATTCAAACACGCAATATACGACAAGATTTGAACGAATCTCATACGCTGGGAGTCATGATTTACTCGCAGTTTGTCTTTGTGGTGCTTCGATCCATTACCTTTGTGCTAGAGACGGTGAGCGTGGATGGGGCCGCCTCCATCTCACGCAGTACTCTGGAAGCACTACGAAGTTTGATTCTCAGCCTCGATGTCTTTGTGGCACTCAATATTTACTTCACGCCCAAGTTGTGGATGCTCTACCATCACGATGACGACTATTTCAAAACCATGTTGGCCGTGCAGCGAAGGGCGTCATCGGTGGTAGATTCGGTTTCCAGGTATTCAATGATCAATACCGGTACCACCGGAAGCGGTCTCAACCTTAACGGTTCCGTTTCGGTATGTGATCCTGTTATGGAATTAGATTTGTCCGTGGCATCGGGCAGCAAGACTACAACGACAGCCAGGCGACGGCGGTCTTCGAAAATGTCATCGTTGGGGTTGACGGGATCATCTCTCTCAAATATCAGCAAGGATATGGACAATTCTTTTCGAACAGCAAATGCCAGTGCAATCGTGGACATTAAAGACATTATTATTCCAGAAGGGCAGGAGGATATGGACAAAACCGAAAAGGTTGCCAACTCGAGCACCAGAAACCTAAATTACAAGGTGAATGGTTCCAGCGATATCTGCGCAGAAATGATCGATGACGAAGAAACGCCCCGGGGGGCACATCCACGAAGCGGCAGTGGTAAGACGGACAGTACAAAGTCGACAGCGTCCGAAACGATTGACGATGCATCCGATGCAGAGCGAAAACTAGCAAGAAAGTCGCACAAGGAGTTGCTCGAAGAAGGCCTTCGGAACTTCCGAAACTCGTATGTATCACGGGCAACTCTGCTTGAACAGGCCGCGGCAGTTGCTACCGATACGGAACCACCAATGGCAATAGCAGCGTCTGCGACCATCATAGATCACGAGGAAGAGCCATCCGACTCAGAAGATGACGAGGAAGGACAAGGGAGAAACGGTGTACTAGATGTACTAGATGAAAAGTCTGGCCAGGCTGGGGAAGAAAGAGGCGATACCAAGGACGAAAGGGAGTCTTTGGTGAGGGAAAATCAACACAATCAGGCAGAAAAGCGAAAAGCCCGCAGCTTCTCCGGGAACGAAAAGCAAAAAGCATCACCGACAGAGACACGCCGAAACTCGGATGGGAAAGACCTGCGCAACACGAATGTCAGAAAGAGTTGGCAAGATTACCTTCAGGGCATTCAAAAGAGCACCAGAAACGTTGTTGCTGCGATAGGCAACGACGAGACGGCGGAACAACGGACGAATTGGACAAAATACGTCAACGAGCAAGGGGTCGGCGACGAAGGCTTTGAGTTGGATGGCGAAGAGACAAGTGAGATTGACGACATCTTCTTCGAAGAGCTCTGTGACAACGACGAGGATCTGACAGACATGCACTATTTCTCTTAGTAGAGCTGTCAAAGTCTTGTTTGCTGGTTGTTCTCTCTCCTTTGCAAGCGGGGAGGGTTGAGAGCGAGGGTGAAACGCATCCTCGCACCAGGCAACGAAGGAAGGATTCGATTCGATGATTCAGTCAAGACTTTCCACGCTCAACACAGCCGTGACACCGGCGGTGAGAGGAGCAAAAACGGGGTTCCATCGGGGTGACGAATCCCCCAGAACCAATAGCTTATGTTGCACCGGTGTTCTTGCACCGTTTTACAAGCAAGGTGTGTTTTGCTGTACGCTGACCCACGGGGCTTCTTGGCAGTTCGGCTCAACGGGTAGAATGATGGGAGATCGTTGATCCCGTTGCACCCACTCAGGATTCGGCCGGCTCAACCGCCCGGCAATCGTGAAGGACAGTTCACGCCCGCAACCATTCACTTGCCCTTTCTCATGGACTGGACAATACTACGGTAGCTGCCGGTACCCATGAGTCAGACGAGAAGTTGAATCGAATCTTGGAGAGTATCGCCCTAACCTCTGCCTGTGGATAACAGTTAACTGACCATCAATAGAGCCGCTCTAGGACTGACAATTTTGAAATCTCGTAGCATGTTCTTGTGGTAGCATTGTATGCAGCAAATCTATCCACAGCACGATAAGATGCAAGATTTCTTGATTAGCAAGCGAGGGCTTTGATCCTGAGATGATGGTATCGTACTAGTACTACATGTAGTACCCGCACGAGCTTCCGTGTTTCAAGTCCTTGTGATGTCGCCTGTCGCATCGTACCGTCCTGTAAACTGTACCTACTTGTAGCTCCAGACGTGGTTAGACGTCTTTAATTCTTAAAATAACGAAGCAACATAAACAAATAATGGAAACAGGCATTCTAAACTCTAAGCAGTCATCGGTCATAATGGGATGTTGCACTGTTTACCACGGATGGACTGTCACTCGCTCTTCCCTTCACACATTCTAATTTTATTAATTAAGTCCTCCCTCCTCGTCACCCACTGACCCGAAGTCGCCTGTGCCCAGTTTACCGTAGTCGCGTACAGGTAAACTTCCTGAACCATTCAATTTTAGAATTAGTCTTGTGTTTGCATTGTTCATGACATTGTATTAGAGTACAACACCCAGCACCCAGGCCTGGGCCAAGGCCTGTCTGGTCTCTGGTGAACTGGCAGACTGCCAGCACCAATACACTGCGAACTAGCTAGCTACGGTACTGTAGCTAGACCAATCAGTACGAGAACTGCTTCTCATGGTGTTGCCGGTTGAGGGGCTTCTTTTTTTGTTCGATATGTGCGTTGTGGTTGTGGTTTGTGGTTGGGCACTACATACTACACTGTGTAACCATTTAGTACATGTACTACTCGTAGTAGATCGACAGGAGGTGTCGATGTTTGGTGAACTCTGTTCTGATGAGGATAGTCTAGCTTGTTGTACTTCGTTGCTTGTTACTTGTTACCAAAAGTTAGCATTGGTCTTGTCGTGTCTTTGATCGATAAGCTACAATCGTACCACATTCCCCATTAATGCTCAGTGCTCAGGTGTATTTGAGGAACTTCACTTAGAGGACAGAACTTCCATTTTGATCGCTTTATTAGAGATGCCATCTGAAACAGCCGAAATCTATGGCACTACTTGTACTGCTAATCTTACAGTGATGACCCAAGAACGCTACGTTGTCTCAGCGGGAGTGAGTCAGTGGGTCAACTACTAAATGATTACCTCATGGATAAGATACCTATTTTGAGTCCAGTACATGTACATTGCAATCATCCACAGTAATAGTGCCCCAGCACTGAGTCATTATCTTAGAAGCAGACCAATCTCAGTAGCTTTCATATCTTATAATTATAGCCACTAGCAGATATTGCCACATACCCTACTACAAAACATGCCCTCAGACAGGGATGAGCCACCACCAAAGCCCAAGAAGGCATGGTGCAAAGCCAAATTGATGCAACCACAGATGTTGTGGCACTCCAAGATGGGGATATGGAGGACTTTGATGTAGACGGTGATGTGGAAGATAGTGGGTTCTAGTTGCCCTCATTTTATAACCAGATACTAGTAGTATTAGCTTAGGATTTGAGACATTGGTACCGTACTGGTGCTTATCTTACTTCTTTGAAAATTCTGAGTGTCTAACTAAGTTATCTTAATTTTAAAAAAGAGAAATTAACATTTCTGTAGAGTTGAGTACTTATCTTAAATATGAGTGAGGAGTGTTCTGTGGACTCTCTCTGCAAAAAGCTGATCATTCGATATTATGAGCGAAAGAGTGGAGCGAAGACAAGCGCGATCCGTACCAATCGTTTCGGTACCTACCTCACGCTCATCGTGGGCTCGTAGCGGTAGATTGCACGAAGCCTTTCACCTCTACGGTACTCGCGTACTCGCCTCTACTGGTACAGTACTAGCTTTGGCTGCGAACACGGAAAGCAACCCGATTGATTATTGACACGGTATGGTACCACCAACCACAAAACGGTTGTCTCTCGCCTCTTTTTACTAACAAGACTTGCCTTGAGTGGTACGGTAAGTGACAATGGCCAGGAGGAGAGATCTTGGTCCGTCAATGAAACCTAAACCTGGATAGCTCACAAACACTCCTTCTCCTTCTGTTGTAATAGATTTCGTAGAGTTGCTACCTTCTTCAGACTTTCATAACTATATATAGATTCATAACTCCTCGCTCGATACTGTAGCATTGCGAGAGATCGCTACCCATCCTCCTTCCTTATCTCCGAGACAGCTCTTCAAAATCCAAGATGATACGCTCTCTCAAGATGACGACACATCAGTTCTTTGGGATTGTGGTGGCTCTTGCCGTACTGGCGGCCCCCGCTGCCGCCACGGACCCACCCACCACCGCACGTCCTTCCCAAAGTCCTTCCAGGTCACCCCAACCCTCCTCAAGCCCTTCTGATGTTCCCTCCGTGGCCCCTTCCTTCCATCTTGCAGAAGGTGACATTCTCCACCAAGGGTTGGCGCTCTTCACCAACAAATTCGCTGGATTGGACCAACTGGACGTGCTCAGCACTCCGATCCCCCTGGTGGGCTTGTCCATCAATAATATCCTAGGCGATATCTACACCACGCTGGACTTTACGACTTTCATCATGGATGGTACAAGGGATTTCACGGCTGATCAGATTGAAGGATCCATCAATACCTTCCTTACCAACCGCATTGCTGCTGGATCTGTACTTTCAACCTACAGAGATGGAGCCTCTCCTCTTTGCCCCAACACCAATAATAACCAACCCATCTTTGTGGACTGGGTTGACGAAGCAACCGTGGGGCATACCAAGTTGGAGATCACGTTCTGCATGGAGATATCCAAGACGAAGCAGTTCAACTTTGAGCCAACTGGGTTGTTCGACTCCATCCCCGAGTCCATCCTCATGGAAACGTCGGCTCAGCTGACTGCAGAAGCCACATTCACTGTGGCTTCCAAGCTCACTGTCTACTTTGATGGAACAACTCCAGGCCTTGTCACCGCACCAGAGTTTGAGTTTGAGCTCGCTGACGCTGAGCTAAACGTCAACGCTGGATCTGCCAACGGACTTAAGCTCTTTCTGGGCGTCGTTGAGTTGTCCTCGGATGCCACTATCAACCTTGGCGCGTCCTTTAGCTTTTGCTACGATGATCCCAACGTGTCTGGCACGCCCTGTTCCAACGACCGACTTGATTCAACGGATCTCTATCTGACCATCAATTCCGGCTACACGGTCAACGGTGATTTGACCCTCGAGTCTGCGGGTGTCTTGCCCTCTCTGGCCGCTCTTCTGCCGACCCCACTGAGCTTTACTGTGACTGCTCAAGATACGCTCTCCGACTACACGCCGGACTTCTCGTCCAATTTGGATCCTGCCCTTGAAGAAGCCCTCGTGGCATACTCACCCAAGAGTATGCTCCAGCTGATTGACCGGATGGAGTCGGTGGTCTTTCGCATGATGGAAAACGAACCGTTCCTCAAGACCAGCGTCCCGTTGACGGACAAGACACTCACTAAAGTCCTTCGCAAGAAGAATGTCTTTACGACCCACAAGCACCTCTTGGCGATCCCACAGCCCATTGCCACCCGTCCGAAAAAGTCTCGTACCATCTTTTCGTCCAAGGCATTTGCCGCTGCCCCGATTGGCACACTGCCAAAGACTCTCGCGTTGATCTATACCACTGGACCCGATCTGAACGCCAATCCAACCGACAAAGCTGCTATCAATGGCCTCAGCAACACAAAAGTGTGCTCTTTCGACATTGCAGCTGACCCCGCTACCGCGGCGGAGTTTGTCAGCGCAATCAAGACCGGTGTCAACGCTGCGAACTGTGGAGTCACACTGTGCGAAATGGGCGACACGGCTGCGACTGGCTGTACGCGGCACAATACCAACGGGGCTCGATCGACATTTGATGTATCGGGTTCGTGTAGCTCGACCTGCAAGGTAGTTATTGGAGTGGACACTGATAGCAATGGCAACGACAAGCTCTACATGACAAGCGTTGTCGACACTTCCAACTCGTTGGATGTCGTCTACTTGAGTTTGAACGAACCTGACGATCGAAAAGGACCGGATTCTTTGCTTGGGTTCCCCATCAACCAGCCGGCTTATCCCGAGCTGGTGCCTCGCTACAATGATATTGCAACGTTTGTCGCGACTCTTTCTGGTACGTATGTTCGGCTTGTTTGTGTCATTGTGTTGCGAGCGTCCCAGCTTACCTGAATTTCTTGGTCGAAATGTGCAGGTGGTGTCCAAGGATCCCAAGAGTTCAACAATGTTGTGATTGGATTCGTTTTCGTTCCAGCCGATGCCAACAACCTTGCTCGGTTTGAACTCACGGCAGACTTTGCCCAAGACACTAGTGTTAATGCAGTTTGGGCTCCCCCGGGGGGCAATATTGGCGACTTTGCGAATGTGGCCTTGGAACAAGCCAATTTTGTGGTTGACACCACGGCCACGTTCAGCACTGGATTCGGGGTGCTCCTTGGGCCAGACACAACGGAAAAACTCGTTATTCTGGGAACTGCTTGCAAGGGAGAAGACCCAAAGACCTTCAGCTGTGATTTGGCATTTACGCAACTGAAGCTGACGTATGACTCTGTTGAAAAGGTGGTCGACTTGCCTGCTGGTAATGGAGATGCGGCCACCGCCTTGCAGGTAGCGCTGGACGGGGTTGATGCCCTTGGGTCTGACTTCGCCAGCGTCACCACCTTCGGAAGTAACAAGTTCAAAATCGAGTTCAACGCCGCATTTGGCTCTGTCCAACTTCAAGTTCTCAAGACCTGTAAGGATGCTGTTGATGGTACCGAACGAGCTGGCAGTGTCTTTGCATGCGCAACGGGCGATGTCCCTGCGGACAGCAGTAACTCGTACGGGCTCACAGACCAAGTGAAATCGAAGCGAGGTTTCCAAGTGGCAGTCGACCAGACCACCTTGAGCGCAAGCTTCAGTGTTAATGGAATCGCCAAGTTGACGGCCGAGCTGAATGATGTTATTGAAATATCCGCTGACATGACGGGGCAGTTGTCTGGTAGTCTTACCTTGACGGTCGGAGAAGTTGGATACACTCCATTCTTCACTTGGGTTGCTGACCTCATTCAACTTGATCACTTCAACGGCCTTGCGAGCTTCAGTGGTTCCTTTCTTGCCGATGTGCACGCTTTGGAGCCATTCGATGCTGAGATCTTAGGTGCAACGGGAGCAATGGCTCAGTATGACATCGATTTCTTCGCGAACCCAGGGCTGCCTTCAATCACGTTCCAGATTGACCTTCCGGGGATTCGAGATGTTCGCTTCCTCAAATATGAGGATGTTGTGAGTTGCATGGCTTTCACCAAATCATTCCTGGGATCGGTGGAAACCTGTGCCGGTGGTCTCTTGGATTTTGAGATCAATGACCAAAACGTGTTCTTCAGCAAGATCCCAAGTAAGTTTTGGTGAAGGTGGATGCTTACTTGTATTGTCTACTACGGGAAATCGGAACTAAAACGTCTCTTGATTGAATAGTTCTCGGAGTCAGGCCTTGTGAAAAGATATCATTGCTGTCAGTCTACACAGGTAAGTTGCTTCACTGTGGGAGTGTTCACCCATCGACTCTACGACTCAAAACTAACAACGGTCTTTTGCAGATTTTGTGGACTATATTACTGCCGAGTTTGACGATGGCGTTAATACAACATTCACTGCCCTCAAAGAAAAGCTCGAGGGAGCTTTATCTGATGTCGTGGAAAGCACTGGTGGTACTGCGACTGTTTTGTTCGACACGGGCGAAACCAACGATGGTCTTGCTGTACGCTCTACCTTGACGATTGACATTGTCTTGGAGTGGGATCTATCTTTCCTTGATGACCTGGGATTCAGTCTGAGTGAGCTCCTGGATGATATTGGCGTGTCCGGGGATGACCTGTCTGGTGCCATCACTGGACTCTTGGGCGATGTTGTTCCTGAGGAAGGTTTGGCCCTAATACCGTTTGATGGTGTTCTGCGCTTCCAGACGGGCCTTGGGTTGGAGAGAACAGTGGAGCTTCCTAGCGCGAATGTACCTGCAGGTTCGGAATTTCTAGGCACAAGCTGCTTCATGTTGGGAACATCGGGTCTGAACCTCGGTTTCAGTGGAGGCACTGGAGGAAGCGCCATTGGCTTCGACGGAATGTTGGGACCTTTTGCAGGGACATTTGGCATTGAATTTGACTTCCTTGATAACTTGGGCTCAACAGATGGGGATGGCCTCTCCCTTCAGATTGGTTTCCCAGACACAAGCTTTAACTTCTACATTGATGGAGACATCCCGGCTCGTTTGGAAGGGCCCTCTTTTCCTCGTGTGACTGATGTTGACGATCTCCTTGCGAGACTCAGCGGAAGTTGGACCGGTGGTGCGGGTGGCGGATTCACTGGATCCATTCCTACCATTGATGTGGACTTGAGCTTGGTTATGAGCTTCCCCAATCTTGAGACACTTTTCCAGAACCCAACTATTGCCATATTTGATTTGCTGGATCCTGGGTCTATTTCGGGAAGCTCTAACCCTCTCGACTTTGGAGGGGTTCTCAACTTTGAAGTGAAGTCTTTGGGTAGTGATATCCTACAACGGCTAACATCACTAGATGTTCCTGGCCTGGGAGACTTGATGCTTGGTGGAGGGGCGTTTACGAACATTGTCAAATCTGTCGAAAATTTCTTTGAGAAGCTTGACAGCTTGACATTTGGAGCCAGTGGCATTGTTACGAGCATTGATATCCCATTCCTGAAGAAGAAACTGGCAGTTGCTCTTGGTGCTGGCAGTGGAGGAACAAGTGGGGCAAGCGTGTTCAAGAAAGCCGGAGCAAAGATTGCAGGAGCCTTGGATGATGCGCTAGACACACTTGTTGGAGAACTTGGTGGAACCATTGCGGTGGAAGTGGCAAACCTTTTGAACGAAGTGCTCGCAGACATACTCTGCCCCGACCAAGAAGTGGAGTCCATTTGTGGCTGCAGTGATGGCGATGGAACTTTTCTACCTAACTGTCCTTGTGAAGACAACGATGGGTCAATCGAATCTATTGAATGGAAGATCCCATTGGGCGCTTCTGCATTGAATTTTGAGATCCCACTGGACTTTGAGCTAGATGGAGATCTTGCCCTTGACCTGAATTTCACTGCAGAGCTTGAAGTTGGTTGGTCTTTCCTGCTTGGCCTTGGCTATGATGTTGAGCAGGGGCTTTTTATTGATACCTTCCCTGGGGAGTCTTCAGAGGTTAGCATTCAAGCTGCATTGACTGTACCCAATACTGGAATCGAAGCATCATTGTTGAACTTTCTTAACGCAAGCTTGACTGATGCTACAGTGCAGATCGCAGCGGGTTTTTTCATCGACTTTGACAAAGAAGCTGGGTTGCGTCTGAAAAATCCAGAAGTTGAGGGAAGTCGAAGCTATGGCCGCATGACCCTGTCAAACTTCAAGGGAATTTCACTTGATTTCTTCCAACCTAGTGTCAGAACAGCAGCCACATTTAGCACATCCATGGAGCTCTCTGTTGGTGAGGCTGTGGTTGGTGATGCGGCAGCCTACATCCCATCCCTGCAAGCAGACGTGAAGGCAGTGCTGTTCAAGAACTTTGAGCCAGATTCGGATGAAGGATCTGGCTCTAGTAATGGCGCCAACACACGCCGGCAACTTCATGAGCGCCTGGAAGAGCGCCGTCTCCAACGACTATCTCAAGACTTCGAATCCTTTGGAAGGTTGACATCACAAGAACACCCTGCAAGGCAACTCGTGGAGGCCATTAGGCATCTTGTTCGAAATGACATTTTGGAAGAAGACTTTGACTTTGTGGAAGGTGGATTCTGTGCTGTTGACACGACACAGGAAGAAGGTGGCTGTCTGGAGGTCCAAGCTCTGGCAGTGAATACCAAAAAGCTGAAAGAGCAAATTGACCCATTCATTGAGTTCTTTGTGACAGGAGATGTCGATGGTGCCCTTGATAACATTGCACAGCCTCTGCTCCCATTGAATGATCCAGTTCCTGGTGTATCGGAAGTTGTTGGTGAGGACACATCCATTCTAGACTTTGCTGAACAAGATTCTAGGTTTAGAGCTGGTGCTCAAGCCTTGAAGAAATTCATCGAGGTGTACCTCAGCATTAAAGATTTTGCGGCCAAGTTTGAAGAGAACGATGGAGTTGTCACCATTGCTGACACTTGTGATGTCCTTGCCGGTTTTAAGTGCTCGGGGGCTATGTTTGGTGAATTAGAGGAAGAAGGGCGGCAACTTGAGGTCACAGCAGATGCCCATGAAATCTTTGCCTTGGCCAGCAAGGAAGGTCTCCCAATTTCCCCTGCCGACCATGCGCTCCGGCGTCAACTTGACAGTTCATGTGATACTGATGGTTCCACTTGTACAGATGGAACTTTTGGCGGTGACTGTTCCACAGCCTCCTGCTGTGCCACTACATCCTGTAAAAAGAATGAAAAAGTGAAGAAAGCAAAGTGTCTCAAAGAGAAGATCAAGTGCAAAGCAAGTGGCATTGATGGTCTGACATTCCCGTTCCTAGAAGATCCAACACTGATGATTGGAATTATCACCGGTGACGATTTTGTAAGTACTTATATCCATTGTCCATGCATGGTGGCAGTTTTCTGTTGCTAACATGCCTGAATACTTTATACAGGGGCTTCTGAGATATGAACCCGATCCACTTGAGTTTGGAATGGCATTGGAGTTTTCCTTTACACTGTACACACCTCCATTTGTGGAGCTAACCCTTGGCCTTGAGTTTGGAGCTACACTGACCTATGGTGTAGAGCTGGACACAAAAGGCATCCGAGAAGCAGTCACACAAAACGAGCCATTAAAAGCTTTGAACAGTTTTGCATTCATTGATGTTTTTGATGAGGTGGATGTTCCAACCTTGGTTATCACAGGGGCTGTATCTGTCGGTGTAAATGTCAACGCTATCTTCCTTGAGATTGGACTTACAGCCACCGTTGGCTTTGAGGCCACTGTGGATATTTGGGACCCGTTCCCAGAGACGAGCAATGGTCTTGTGAGACCTTATGAACTGGTGGTCTATCAGGGTCTCAATCCATTGGATTGGCTTGAGTTTACTCTGTCCATGTACTTTGAACTTGAAATGTACATTAGAGTTCAGATCTGGCTGATCTTTACCACGATCACTGTGAGTACATGATGCTTTTTGACAAAAAAAAAAAAAACAGTTTGCTCTGTCCTCTCATCATGATGTCTCGCACTGAGCTCAGATCTACGAAATTTCCTATTCCATCCGTGAGGACATCATTGCTCCGATCTTGATTGAACCCCTTCCCGTTGTTCCTGTTGTGGAGGTGAAGGATGGAGACTTAACTCTGAACGAAGATGCATCAGGAGGCCTCGAATGTTTCTCCTTGGAAGGAAGCCTTGGAGAAGAAACAGTTGAATGCATACTTGCGACATCTGGGCAGGAGAAGTTTGCCACTGCGGAGGGTGTTGCCGAGATTACATTCACCAATACTCGAAGAAATCGAGAGATGCTGTCTATGGTTCGGCGTGATGGAACCGTTTCGGGCAGAATGATGACTAGCACTTCTGACTTGTTTTTCAAAGGGATCCAGTCCCCAATCAAGTTGGGGAGTGTTGGCAAGCTGACTCTTGACTATCTTGCATCAGGCTCCAAGGTTCTTGGCAATGCCCAAATTGCCTTAGCAGCAACAAGCATCCAAGCAGGCATTGCCAATACTCACTTCCTGGGTATCTCAAACAAGGTTGTCATGGAGCTTCCATTCCCAGAGATTCAGGATCTGACCACAACTTTGAACGACTGTAACAACCAATTTGACCTCATCGGCCACACCAACCTCATCATCAACGCAGACAGTATTGGCACTGCATGCTCTATAAAAGCTACAGGTGGTGAGAATGAAGCCTCGGTTCTTGTGGACTTTGGAGTTTCTGATTCGTGCATGGATGGTAACTCTGTAAAAGTTTCCACATCTGGTGAACAAACTACGATTGAAATTTTCCGTGCCAGAGACAGCTTCAGAAAAACTTTCTCGTTTGGTACAGCTTTCCAAATCTTTGAATTCCTCATGTCTGAGTGCCAGGACACCATCACAATTGAAAAGACCTTGGCAACAACGATTTCGATCAAGGTTGATGGAAGGAAAGGCGACGACATAATTAGTATCGGCCATGGTCAAGATGGTGTGAACCTCATCTTTGGCGACCTTGATGTCACTGGTTCCGCAGGTTCTGATAAACTGATCGTGTTGGATACTCCAAGCATTTCCCTTGGCTACAAGAATGAGACTATGACGTCCAAGTTCTTGGAAGGTTTCCTCCCTGGCGAAAACAGTCTCTTTGAATATGAAGGATTTGAGACGATTACATTGTATCTCACCAGTTCTGAGAACTCCTTGTTGGTTGCTTCCACACCCTTGGACTCTTCCACTTTCATTTTTGGAGGATCTAGTCCCAGCCATTTCTTGGTGAACTCCACCAAGGGAGATATTGAGATCCAGGGAGGACAATCCAACGACGTATTTTCCGTGAGACAGCTCTTTGAAGGAACCACTGCCGTCTTCAAGGGATTGGATGGGGACGATATCCTGAACGTGGATGGAAGGCCTTTTAACTCCACAGAGCTGGGTTCTACCGTTGAAAACACTTTGATCAGGTGGAGTGGAGGCAACGGTAACGATACACTGAACACATACTTTGTTTCCTATGGTGACAGCACTATTGAGCTCTTTGATGACAATGATGGAACAAACAGAATCAACATCGACTGCGCGGATTTTGCCTGCCACATTCTCAGTCGGAACAACTTCTTGGCCAACATCCATGACACTGAATCCAGCAGCAGCACGGTGGAACGGATAAATCTCTACCAGTCAACCGAGATGCCGGTATCTGTTAGTGCCATCGTGCTACGGCTGAATGGAGGACTCAATCGAATGTTCTTCGACGATACCATGGCCAAGTTTGATGGTACGATGTTGTGAGAATTTTCTGTCTCGCGTGTGCTGCTGCAAGATCCTCAACACGTGTCCTCTCCCCATACAGTTTTTGGAGGGCCAGACAGAGATGGTAAGCAAGACTGGATGTAGTCAATCATAACAGAACCTTGTAGTTCATACTGCTAACAACAAAGTTTCCTTGGTGATTTGCTTCTGCAGAATTCCGAATTGGACAAAAGTACAATTCAGAGAGAGGAGAAATGACTGGAGTGGTGGAAACCCTTGAAACCACACTCACTACCCAAGGATACTTGTCTGATGGAAATTCTGACAATGTAGTCATTAATGGGATGGGCGGGGGTGATTTCTTTGATGTCATTCGTAACAAGAAGCTTTTGGATCTAAATGGTGACTCCGGCGATGACACATTTATCATCCGTTCTTTCCTTGCCCTGAGGCTGATTGAGGGGGAAGTGCAGGAGAGCGATATTGGTGATGTGAAAGCTGTTGGAGGGGATGACAATGATCTCTTTGAAGTCGGGGACACCGTGACTTCTTATGTTGTTAATGCAGGTGTTGATATCGATGGTGGAACAGGTATGTGGCTTTCTTCTTTGATGGTGAGCTGTTGTGGCTACGGCTGCTGTGACGTTGTTCTAACAAAAGTTTTGAAATCTAGGGGATGACCGTGCTGTGGTTGTGGGCACTGAAGCAGCTGACACGTATGTGATCACTGATGGCGAAATCTTTGGAGGTGGGCTCTCGATCAAATTTTCAAACATCGAGCTGCTGGATGTTACAGGCCAGGTATGAGCAAGAACGGTTCAGCGTGGAGCATATGCTTGTACCCAGTCTCTTCTTACAAGAATCTCAACCACTTTCTGTTGAAAATTAGGAAGGGGATGATATCTTCCAGATTCTGTCCACGAACCCCAATGTGATCACCAGTGTCTATGGTTCCCTTGGGAGTGACACATTCCTGGTCGCCCCCAGGGAAGTCCTGCCTGTCATTTCGAAGAACACCAAGGGACACAGTGGAGTGCTTGAACACGAGATTGCAAGTGGTGATGAGGGATACAATGGACTCCTTGTTGAGGGTATCGCTGTGAATGTCATGGTAAGTTTGAGGTTGCGGAGTATTTGATTGCTTTCCTGTAGATTGAAACTCTGACTCTTGGCTGTTTCACAAAGGATAACGATGATTTTGGCTATATTCACGTCATTGAGACATCCGCATCCTATGTTCTTTTTGAGGTGTCAGAGACAGAAGATGTCAATGGGGAAGGGCTCAGTTTCGACTTCTACTTGTATCCAACAATTCGTCCGGATGCCAAAGTTGTTGTTGATGTTCAATCCCAATTCTCCTTAAACTTGGAGCCATACGTCATTCTTACCGATATCTCAGATGGTTCTGGAACACCTGATGTTGATGGTGTCCTTGAACTCACTTGGATTGCTGGAAATATGGCACCTAAGAGGATTCGTGCTCAGCACAACTACAGAGCTGAGCCTCTCGAAATCACAGATTATAATGGTCTCATTGCTGTTGACCTGATTGTTCAACGGACGGATGATGCTCGATTCTCAGACACAAACCAAACCATTCAACCCATTTTCAACAAGCTCATCCCCAGGAAGACACCAGTCGCCGGTAGAACTGACATTGCCCAGTCTGTCACTATTATTGAACCCACTGGGGAAACGGTGGTGGCAGAGGGGGGAACGAATGGGTTTGAAGCTGCATACGATGTCTATCTGAGACCCTGCACTGCTTCCATGAAGACTAATACCAAAGTCGAGGTGTCAGAAACTGTCTTGGATCAAGTAATGGTGTCACCGTCCACCATTGTTGGTAACGACTGGGGTGCTGACTGCAAGGTAACAGTGTCGGTTGCTGCAAAAGAAGATGAGCTTGAGGAAGGTCTTCACTTTGTTACACTTGCACATAAAGTTACTACTCCCGCAGGAGAAGGGATTCTCCTCAGTGATGGGGAACCTTTGGTTGCCTCAAATGTGCTGGTAAAGATTCAAGATGATGATATCGCTGGAGTTATCCTAGAGCAATCCAATGGTGCGACAAGCACAGCTGAGATTGACGATGTTGACAAGCTCTTGGTAGAAACGAGTGGAAGTGATTTCAGCTTCTACTTTGAGGACTCATACAGAATCCGACTTTCTAAGGCCCCAAATGATACGGTCACAATTCAGATCTACGGAGTGGAGACGGCCAGTGACGATGCAAATCAGCTTGGTGGGCTTGTTGATAACTCAGAAATTATTCTCAGGACAACTCCCCGCATCCAGGCTTATGTCCGGACCACCACTGCTGGCACCCCCGCAAGCAGTGTAGCCCTGGAGTTCACATCATTGAACTGGAACCTTTGGCAAACAGTTTATGTATCCGCTGTCAATGATGGCATCACAGAAGGGGTGGATCTGTTGAACTTCCCATCCCAACCATCGTTCCTTTCCTACATCCAGGGCCCTCTCGTGTTGGCTGGGTCTGATTCACCAGATGTCCCACCCATTGAACCCCCATTGATGCTTCCAGGAGAAACTGATGTGGACAAGTTTGAGATTCCAGATGGGTATGAAGCGGATCTTTCCAGCTTTGATGCTATTGAAGCTGATTCAGTCAACCACCTCATTATCCAAAATCTGGACGTCAGGGGATCTTTGAAATCCATTGGGACCTTGACGCATGACCAGTTCTTTGGCATGAACATGGGGCAAAACCTTGTGATCTCTGGCAATGCTCAAAGGGATGGAATTGTCTATCGTGACATGAACCTTGTTGAACTTTTCCTGGGCAATGGTGCTGATGACATTACCATTGAGAGCACAGCTGAGGCCTTGTATTTACTCCATACCGGTGCCGATGATGATGATGTCCATGTGAAGAACATATCTGGGCCTGTTCTTATCCAGGGAGCGGAAGGCGCTGACAAAGTTAGGATTTCTTCGGACTCACACAAGATTGATGATATTCTTGCTTTGCTGGCGTTTGATGGAGGATCCAGCGATCAAGATGCTGACCGGCTTGCTGTGGACCATTCTGGTGATGACATCGGTTCTGACCCTGTCCTCAATATCACTAGGAACCTTGTGGAGCTGGCCAGCATGAGCGTGTCAGATGAAACCAATGCACCCCGAGACTCCTTTCTGATCAGCTTGTGGGGTGCCACAGGTGGCTCATACGAGCTTGTCTTGTCAGATCCGCTTCAAGCATCCAACGAACCCAAGACAATTGTGGTTCCGTTGGCTACTACTGCTTCGGAGCTAGAGGATCTTATCCAAGACACCATTTTCCCATCAGGTAGTGAGAAGGCATGTGGCAAGATTGGAACAACCATTTGCTCACAGTCTGTCAAGGTGTATGAGCTTGGCAGTGGCTTTCTGATTACATTTGTGGGCGAGCGACTGAATCGGGGTGTCTCTCTTGACTTTTCACCAGGCACACTCGAGAGCTTTCAGTCAGAGATTTTCCTCAATGCTACCAATGACATTTTGGATCAGGCATCAGACATTGTCTATGGAAACGTTGAGCTGCTGGATATAGCACTGGGGACCAAAGAGACTGTTCTGAACATTCGTGGTACATCAGCAAAGACAGAAATTGTCACACAAAACAGTGATGACTACGTTTTCGTGTCTTCCGATTCAAACGAGACCCCAGAAACAGCACAAGTGACTGATTTCTTGCATGGATGGCTTGACTATGTCACCAGAGACCTGACCATCGTTGTGAACGAAGGAAGGCATCGGCTCATGATTTCCGATGAAAGCAGCTCACTGCCCATGGCTTCCGTGGATGCCCCCGCAGGTCTGACTGGTTCTTCGCTCAAAGGAATTAAAGAGGGCCTTGGTGATATCTACTTTTCTGCGGATGGAGGGCATTGGTCAGCAGGTGTAAACTTGTGGCTTGGAAAAAATGATGACTACTTGAGTGTCACATCCATCCCAGCAAACGCGGAAGGAACAGACCTTAGAACAGCCACGTCCATTCATGCTGGAGCCGGTTCTGACAAGATTACTGTAGCCCTGGATGAAAGCCAACTCTATGGGGCTGTATTTGTTGCCAATGGCCAGGCTGGCAATGACATCATTGATGGTTCTGCGTCTTCCCTCCCGCTGATCCTCTTTGGCGATGATGGACTGGACGAAATAAAAGGTGGATCTGGTTCAGATATCGTTTTTGGTGACTATGGCGTAGTGGAGTGGATTGATTCTAATTCCACCGTGGTTGCATCAGCTGGGAAGGGCGGTTATGGTGACTTCACAGATGGTGTTGTGAGACATGTGAGCAGAGTTCTTTCAACAGGAGCTGATCAGGGTGATTCCGATATTCTTATCCTAAATGGAGGGAATGACATTGGCATCGGTGGATTCAAAAATGATTCAGTGCACGGTGGTGATGGAATGGACATCATTCTAGGTGACTCAGGCAGAATCGAGTTTTATCACGACTCACTCTCTCCCAAGCTGATCCTGCCACTTGATTGTGAATATGGAGGGCCGGATACACTTTATGGTGGCAATGGAGAGGTTGATTACATCATTGGAGGAGGCTTCAGTGATGTGATCTATGGTGGTACTGATGTCCTTGATGCTGCAGATGGAAGTGACCTTGTTTTTGGAGATCACGCAGAAATCATGCTCGAAGAAGAGCCAGCCTACAAGCTTATCCGGGCAGAAATTACTCTCCCTGAATGCACTGGAGGAGATGACTCCATCTACCTTGGTGCTGGGGATGACATTGCCTTTGGAGGTGCAGGGAATGATTACATTGAAGGCAATGCAGGGCAAGACATCATTTTTGGTGACTTTGTAAGGCATTGCCAGAATTCTTGTCGTATTCATGTTTGTTTGCGACTCCAAATGACTAACTTGTTGTTTTTGATCTTAACAGGGAATCTATGATGCCACAATTAGCTACCCTGAGTACACATCACTGATTGACCATGCAGAGTTTGCTGGGAATGATACTATACATGGTGGTGACCATGATGACATCTTGTTTGGACAGGAGGTGGGTTCCCCAAAGTTGATGCTGGCAGCAGAGCTCGATGAGTCCTTTTCTCACTTCTCTCTTCTCTCTTTGCAGGGGTCTGATACCATTTTTGGTGATGGAGGCAATGATGATATCACAGGAGGTCACGATGTCCTCTTTGGCGAAGATGCTGGTGATAATTTGCATGGAGGAAGTGAGAGTGACAGGCTCATTGGAGATAATGGCAGGATTCTTCGTACTGGCACTAGGATTGCCGCTAGTACCTTCCCTTGGCTACACAACTTCGTTTGGGAAACTTTCCCTTCGCCTTTTGATACTGATGTCATCCGAGAAGTCAGACTGTTTGATGATGTAGACAAAATTCAGGTACGCTGTGTCACACATGTTGCTCGTGCTCATTTTTGTAGCATTCCCTCTAACCTTGGGATCTTCTCAATGTGGACAGGGAGATGACAAGATGTGGGGTGATGCTGGGAATGATATTCTCTGGGGCCAACGGGGCAACGATGGTATGTGTCCTGCACTAGGTTATGTGGTTTTGTTGGATCGATGCCAGAACTCAAAAACAATTTTTTCACTGATCAGAACTAAACGGCGGAGAGGGCGAGGACGAATTGATTGGAGGACTCCATGCAGACATCCTTCGAGGAGATGCTGGCAATGACATTTTGATTGGTGATGTTGGGCATGTTATCAGAAGATTTGACGAGTCCGGAGCCCCTCGCCTCAACTCAGACTCAAGTGGTACATCTTCTGAGTTTGTGTGGCACAAGGACATTGTTCTCGAAGAAATTGGCAATATTGTTTCCTCGCATCTCATTTCGAAGAAGGTCGACACTGATATCCTACAAGCAGAAGACACAGTAGCAGCTTCCATGCTGCTTGTTGCCAATGCATACAGCGACGGAAACAAGGTCAATGATGCAAGCAGAGGTGGTTGGCCAACTGAGTTGATTCTATTTAACTTGGAGCCAGGGTATGATGATGTCCTGGAAGGTGGAGCAGGTGATGACGTTGTCATTGGGCAGCGTGGGGACGATACTATCAAGGGTGGCACAGGAAATGACCTTTTGATTGGTGATTCAGGCAGCAATAAAATTGGGTACAACATGGATCTTCCCAAGATCTATGAGATCTATCGCTCCCTCACAGCCCCTGAGCAATTTGAGGTTCCAGAGTTTGGAGCTGTATTTTCGGTTGATATGAAACTCTACCCAGACCAATACCGTGAGGTAGACAGCCTAGGCAGCTTTGTTGACGGTGCTGTTAACATTGATGACCTCCAGGTGGATGCCAACCTTCTTCATGACATCCTTGGCGTCTCAGCTTTGAGCAAGGCCGATCCGTCGGAGTGCGTGCAGCCGATGTTTGCTGCCATGCCCGGATTCCTGGAGTCCACTCAGCACTACCACGGGAATGATTCCATTGACAGTGGAAGCGGGCAGAGCATTGTGGTCGGAGATGACATACGAGGATTCATTGGTCTTGATTTTGAACAGTTTTCAGACATTGATCTTGTCCGAAAGAGGACAGATGAGTTAGTTGCTTCCCTTGGCACCCGTCTCAGTGTTATGGAGTTTGATGCTGAAAGATCAGGCCTGATAAACGGTGCAGATTACAGCATTGCAGTCGGATGCGATAGCATCACCACAGATGCTACAGGCCAGACTTTTGCAACGGGAGACTCGCTGAATCTCATCGGCCGAACCTATTTGGCAGAAAGCGTTGATTCAGCGTCACTGGCCTCTATTGCTGAACAGGTACTGGACAGGCTTCATGACATTGAACTTGTTCTGGTGGATTTGCATCTCGCTTTGTATGAGCTGCACCATGATCTGTTGGTGCGCTCCCCGCAACCCTCACCAACTTTGCCCCAAGAGGCTTTGCACAACTTGACGTTGGCAAGTGACAGTATTTCATCGTTTGGCACGGACGTTGTCGTGGGGGACTCGGTCACCTACTTTGTGCAAGCTGATCGCCCCGGCACTGATGGATTCGCTTTTGGAGAGCTCAAGAGTGACCAGGCCATCGAGAGTGCCTTGTCTGCCATCCGAAACAACAGGGAGGCAGCCCTCGATGCGCACGAGACAACTGATTTGACCCCAACAACACCACTGGGCAACTCAGCGTTGAATAGTTTGCCATTCGATGACATCCCATTCTTACTTTACTGTGGAGTCGACAAGATCTTCTTGAATACTGGCACAAACCTGGGTATTGGTGACTTTGCCTTGATTGGACACGTGGTGACGACACAGGATAGCACTACCGCTGACCTGTCTGCGTACACCGATTCTGTGGAAGACTTGCGGAAGCGACCCGTAGTTTCCATTCAAGTCCGTCTTGACGTGTTCGGATACGACATTGAGTTCTATGCAGAAAGGTACAACTCCGCTATTGCCAAGGATGTCAAACCTGTCCTGCACGGAGATTTCTTCTTTGGCGACAGCGCCACAAATGTTGCCTTGGGAGAATATTGGACAAGCTTTGGGTACGACCAGCCCAGTGGGACTTTTGTCCACGAAGACCGAGCCGATGCCTTTGGACAATGGGATAATGCACGTTGGAACAAGATTGCAGGGGATACGTTTGACATGATTGATGGTACAAAGGTGGACACCCAAAAGGGACAGGACGAGGTAATCGGAAATCTAAATACCAATGACAAGCTGGAGGCGGAGATGCTGTTCTTCACTCAAGGTTTGCTTCAAGGTCATGTCCTGTTGTCCCAGTTTGCCACTGATCTTTTCAATGGTGTCATCCCCGACAACAAACTGACAATGGTCAAGAGCAAGCAGTGTGCTGACATGAATATGGCAAGCTACATTCCTCCCTTTGTCTATGATCCTGGTTCCTCTACCACCACTTCAGGCCCATCCGTTTCTCTGGCATCGCAAACATCAACCGCCACCCTTGAGTTTGGAGCTGTTCCTACTGTTCCTACTGCTGCGTCACCCTCCAACAACGCCCCGACTTCGGCTCCGACTTCTGCCACCACATCCGCTCCGACTTCGGCTCCGACTTCACCACCCGTAAATTCCTCCCCGGGCAATGCCAATGGAAACGGTAATGGCAATGGAAGCGCTAATGGAAAAGGAAAGAACAAGAGGGCACGTCTACGAAGAAGGGAATAGGCGTGTCTAGGTGTTGGGGGTCCCTTATTGATGGGTTCAGTTCTGCGTTGTTTTGTAGCACCAATATTGGCGAGCGTCCTCGCTTGATATTTATATGTTTCGTCGTGCACACACACACAAGACTATAAAACAATACGTTTAAAAACTTTGCCAAGGTTCATCCAGCAGCTAGGTACTCGGTGATGACGACCGTAATTGGGGGCTAGTAGATTGGCGAGCAGGACCGCTACAAGCGCCGTCGGGGACTTGGCATCAGCCTGTGCCTTGGTTGTCACAATTCGGCAGGCAGCCACTCGAAATGGCAATACGCCTGGCTCCGTTTCCTCCGGTACTAGTACCCTCCCTCAGCCATTAGCACACCTGCCGTCAAGCTAGCTAGCTTAGCTACTCAGGGCCCGCTCCTCGTTCAAGGGAAAGTTTGTGACACTAATGTCAGTGCGCAGCCAGCTCGCGCTTATCGATCGACACCTGTGTATCACTCAACCAGGCAGGCAGTGGTCAAAAGCTCACGGTGCGTTAGTTATGGGCAACAAGCTAGCTAGAGCTCCTGTAGTACAAGCAGCCACTTGCCTCTTTTGTTGATGCCTGAAGAAACATCGGTTTCCTTTTCTTCCTCCATTGCTGCTTGTGCACTGGTGGTGGATCGTGGTTGAGCACCCATCTAACATCTAACAATGGAATGTGATAAATAGTGAGACGCCGCTGAGTCACAGTTTCAGAGGAAAGCGCTTAATACATGCAGTACTTTGGTTTGTGAGAGATCTCGAAAGGGGGTTCTAGAGTACGGCATAGGGAGCTCACGTAATGATTACTGGTGGCACGCTTCAGTCTAGTTTTGTGTTCAAGTAAGAAACACGCGACCTCGAGGAAGTCAGTGGAAACCATACTAGTAGTCGCATGATGTGTCGACCACTGGCAATGCAGAACTTACAAATTCCCCCAAAATGAACGACATATTGTGCAAAGGGAGTGTTGCACCTTGTTGGCCCATTAGAAGAATGGCAAAAGTACAGCCTTCTCAAAGTACATGCAATTGAGTGAACGAAAGGAAGGAGCCGACATGGATGCCTCGTCGTCGTCTGCGGTGGCGGACGTGTCCGATATCCTCCACGAGGAGGAGGAAACTATCCTCCCGAGAGAGGATGAGTCCAAGGTTGCGGACAGCAATATGGTTGGGGCGGACAGTAACAGCTCCAACACAGTGCAGCAGCAGCAAGAGGACTTGGATCTTCTTACAGAAAAGACTCTTGAGATGGACATTGCAATGTTCCGAGCCAAGAGCGCATCTCTGAAACCTGGAGCTGTCTCCGTTGACGAGCATGGTACCGAAACTACACTCGTCACACCCAAACCTGTTGCCAGGCGACCACGATCCCCGCTTGTACTAGGATTTCCACGTGGTCGAAGGGCGACGACAAGTACACAAGGGTGCAACCGTTCCACTGCATTCGAAACTGTGGGGCGAGTAGTATACTCCGCCTTCACCGGCGTTCCTCCAATCCAGCCAAGAGAACAGCAGCCCAGAGCCTTGGAAAGCCAAGAAGAACGTCGACATGTGGATGGTGTGACCGGAGCGGAGCCCTCGGCACTTCCACCGACACAAACGTTTCCGAGTTCAGCGCAGACTTCTTGCATCGAAGCCATCCCGACAGCTACGCAGTTGGCGACTCTCCTCCACGTTCCCGATGGTGATGATCATGATGGCACGTTGGATGTGTGCATCATGCGGCACATTCCTGGCTTTGTCGGCAATAGTCATCGCCTCGTGGAGGCACAAGCTGTACCAGACGGAGAAGCTGAAGACGCGACTCAAGTAGATGCTGCTGCTGATCATCATGGTGGAAGACTGGCTATCGAGGAGGCCGAAATTGTGGGCCACGTCTTGGCCCCCACGAATTTTGTGAGCATACATATGGATCAATCCTAACTATTAATACAGTACTACCGTTTACGGCAACCACTGCATTTGAAACGGCACGGCGATCTACCGTGTCATGTCGGATTCTTTTCTAGTTGCTAAAACTGTTAATAAATAGCTAGAGCCTACGCCCTAGCAAGGAGCGAGTGGAATCCGTGCGTTCTTGGGTTGTAATGTTTTGTTGTGTGATGCTTTGGTGGTTCGTTCGTTCGTTTGAGGAAGTGAGCTGCTGCAAGTGGCGAAAAAAGGGCGTCAAAACGCCTTGTGGTTCCAATGCATGCATGCATGCCTGCATGTGTATATATAGTTGAGTGTTCGTTTTCTTTTTTACGACCCGGGTGACGGACCTTCACTTTCTTGCTGCTGTTGTTGTGCAGCCTGCAACTGTTGTTGCTGCTGCTGCTGTTGCTGGTGTAGAAGCAGCGCCATCATTTGTGGATCCATATTATTGCCACCAGCCGCACTACCGCCACCGGGAGCCGCGGCCGCAGCTTGTTGCAACTGTTGTTGTTCTTGTTGCTGTAGCATTTGGAGCAGCATGGCTTGACTGCCGCCGCCGCCACCGCCTCCACCACTACTGGCAGCGGCAATGGCTTGTTGTTGCTGTAGTAGTTGTTGATGCTGTTGTTGTTGCTGTTGTTGCAATTGTTGGTATTGATTCACAAGTTCCATGGCCATTTGTGGATCCGTTTGTGACAATTGCGGCAAAATGGCAAGAATTTCATTGGCTTGTTGCTGTTGTTGCGCATGTTGTTGCTGGAGTATCTCTTGTTGGAGCAGAAGCGTTCCCAAATCCTGCTGTTGCGCCGCCTGTTGTTGATGCTGCTGCTGCTGTTGCTGCTGGAGCAAGAGTGCCGCCATGTTGGGATCAATTCCCTGCAATGCCGCCAATTGTTCGAGCATGGCAGCATTTTCGGCACTACCGCCTCCTCCTGCCGCGGCGGCGAACAGTTGCTGATTGACATGACAAAACGAAAAAAAAACACAATAGAAAGGTGAATTGAATCGTACAAAGAACCAAAACGAGTGAAACACGAGAGCAACAGAATGAATATATGCCATTCCAATAATCCATCAGGTCGTAAACTTACCGCTTCTTGCTGTTGCTGCTGCGCTGCCAATTGTTGCAACAGAGCCGGACTAGCACCACCCAATCCAGCCGCTCCGAGTCCGGCAAGTCCTCCCAAACCACCACCCAATCCGGCCAATGCAGCGTGTTGTTCTTGCAGCTGCTGTTGACGTTGCTGTTGTGCTGCCTGCAACATGGCTGATTCCTCTTTGGCATCTTCCTTGGCTTGTGCTTGTTGCGCTGCTTGCTGTGCTTGCGCTTGTTGTTGTTGCGCTGCTTGCTGCTGCTGGGCTGCTTGCTGCTGCTGTTGTTGTTGCTGATGTGCTTCCAATAATTGCTGGTGTGCTTGCTGTTGCGCTTGTGCATGTGCCTGTTGTGCTTGTTGGTGTGCTTTCTGTTGTGCTTGATGTTGTTGTTGTGCTGCTTGCAATTGTTGCTGTGCTTGCTGCTGTTGCGCCTGTGCTTGCAGTAACTGTTGCTGTGCTTGTTGTTGTGCTTGCTGTTGTGCCTGCAAATGCTGCTGCTGCTGCTGTTGATCTCCCTGCAGTGCATGCTTGACCTGTTCAATTCCTTGCTTGAGTTTTTTGTTTTCTTGCTTGAGTTCTTGATTGTTGGAAGCGAGAGACTGGAACGCTTGACTCAACTGCTGTGCTTGTCCACTACTCTTGGCAGCCTTGGATTCTTCCTTGGCTTCTTCATTGTCGTCGTCCTCATCGTCGTCTGAATCTTCCTCCTCTTCTTCGTCGTCACTTTCTTCTTCCTTTTCATCGTCCTCCTCCTCTTCTTCACTTTCTTCCTCCTTGTCGTCTTCTTCTTCTTCCTCATCGTCGTCTTCTTCGTCGTCGTCGTCTTCTGTAGGACCCGTCTTTACGGCTTTGGGAATTCCATTGGGCAGAGTCTCTTCGGCCTTGCGCTTCTTGCTGTTGTTGTTGTTGTTGTTGTCCGTGGCAGTGGCTCCATTGGCAGCGGCAAGCATGTTTTGTGCTTGCTGCTGTTGTGCTTGTTGTTGCGCTTGTTGTTGCTGTTGCTGCTGCTGCTGCGCCATCATGGCCATCATCATGCGATTCTGATGGGACATGCCACCTCCCGCTCCTTGTGCCGCATTCAGCGCTGCCAATTGCGCTGCCATGGCTCCATTATTGCCATTATTCATACCAGCTCCACCACCATTATTCATACCAGCGCCACCATTGGTCAACGGTCCGCCCTGTTTGAGCGTGTTGTACTGTTCCACGACGCCCACGAGAAATCGCTTGAGCTTGTTTGGGTCGTCCACGCCAGGTTGGAACTGAAGACCGTTACTGCCATTGCCGGATTGACCGTTGCCATTCGGGTGAGGGTGGCTGCCGGACATGCTAGCTATTGCTATGGATACCGTTCTTTATAACAACTTGGATGGACTGTGGGTTGTGGGGAGAGAGAAGGAAGGGTATCTTGTTGATTGATCAGTGATGGATGGATGGATGGATGGACTGGGTGACTGCCTTTGTGGGGTACAGTACAGCAGTGGATGGAGTTGCGATGGGGAACACCAGTGATGGAGAGGTGATGGGATGCAGCCAAAGATGGGATTGAAAGGTTGGGTCAGAGAGAGAGAGAGAGAGCTAAAGAGACTGGAAACGGCAGAGAGTGCTGATGATTGGGATCACTTCGGTTGGCTAGCTAGACTAACTGAGAGAGAGAGATCGTGTGTGCTGTGGGATCGATATACCTGATATGCTACCTCGTCTATCTATTCGGAGATCTCTCAAGGTGGTCGAAAAGATGGATTTGTGCTCGATTGTTAGAGCTATTGTGAGTGATGGTTGCAGTGCGATCCAAAAAAACACAAAGAATGATTCAACCGGTGATCGCGGTTGCGCGGTTGTGAGTAGGCTTCCCGAGAACTTTGTGAAACGCTTGGGCAATTGTTGAAACTGTCTTACCTCAAGACCATTTGTAGTTCAACGGGGTGAAAAGACATTCTGATGAGTTTTACAAGCTTCTCACGAGCTACTCACGTCCTCAAAGTAGTCACCTTCGATCGAAGAGCGCTTTCTTTTCTTTACTTAAAACACTGTTTCCTTGTTTGCCTGAGAAGACCAATTGATTTAACATCCTCCTTACCTTCCTGCAATCCTGACCACTGTGAGTCTCTGAGTTGTGAGTCTGTTGTGACGGCGACCGGAGAAAAACTATCCATTTGTCATGGAGAACCCCCGCTTTATTTCCGGTTTGTGAACCGGCAAGAAGGCAGCAATAGGTGACCCCGAAAGCCATCATAGCGGCCATAAAGTACCGGTGATGGTCGATGCAATTGAAACAGGCATGAATAGACCTATTGATTATTATTGCAGGAACGAATGAATCAGCTGCAAGGTCCTGAAACCATTATGAAGTTTTGAAATGTTTCAAACAGTTTTACTTTCTCATTTCTAGTTTCACTTTCTCATTTCTAGTTTCTCAACAAAAACTAACAGTTTATTTTCTCATTTGAGAAAATAGTTTCTCAATTTTGTTGCACATTTACTTTAATAGTAGTTTCTCCTATTGTTTCTCATTTCAAAAGATAGTTTCTCATTTTCGACAAACAAGAAACTAACTTTCTCATTTGAGAAACTAATTTCTCAAATGAGAAACTACTTTCTCATTTGAGAAACTGTCAAAAAGGATTTCAGTCATGCTTCCGAACCTTGCAGTTGTAGCAGGAGGCAAAAACAGCTGCAGAAAACGAAGCGTGCAAGACCTTGTGATCCACCCAGTCATCTTCTCTGTGGACCTTTTGTTTATTAGCAATTTCGCGACGACGGCGGAATCAGCTGCGGAACCGCAATTGCATCGACAGTCATTACTTGAGAAAAGAAGGTTGCAGCTCGTCAGTGGAAACCATGTGTGATTAAATTTATTTTGTGATTCTGAGAGTGACTCGACACGACTCATTGCTTCAGCGTTGCGTACCAGTACTCGTACAGTGTACAGTATTCCTACTGACAGCAGAAGATACCCTCGACAGCCGCTGACGTGCTGCAGCTCATGCTGGTGGTCAAGTGCCCAGCATCCTATGGCAAAGTATGTGTATGTACCGTACCCGCTAAAGCACTAAAAGTGAACCCTCAACCGGTTGTTATGGCAGCTTTCGCTACTTGCTACTACACAAGTGTATGCACCTAGAAGCTCCTTATACAGTACTAGATGTGTATCCGACTCTCAGCCAATCCGCTTCAATCTTCAATGCCAAGGGAGAAAGAACAGAGACAGCATCTGTCTGCCAAAGATACTGATAGCAACTGCTTACTCGGGAGTTCATTGGGCTCTTCCATGTCGTTGAATCTAGCCAAAGGGACCTTATCAGTTTTTTTTTTTAACCCTTGTTTGGTTGATGCGTCGAGTCGTCACCCTCCATAGTATTAAATTTATTAATTGAAGGATCATTCTAGATCTACCCAGACTACTCGCCACTCAACAACTGGATCCATCCAACCACTGGATTCTGGTTAGAAGCACGACTCCCTGAGTGGAAGTCCCAGTGAGTCCCTGTCCAGTTGTACTATCACGTTTGAACGGAATACCACTGTTTAATCATTTTCAGCACAAAAGCCAGTGAAAAGGAGTATAGTACAAGCATAGAATGAAAACTCAAGTGTCAAATCCAGTGGTTGGGTTGCGAGTAGCAGACGCCTGTTGATTGATCCTTTGATCTTTGGTCAGCCGTTCTAACAGTAGGCTGTCGGAAAGGCTCTTTGGGAAAACATCAACTACGGTATGTCCGCCACAAATAAAGCTATGTACCACACATTGCACAAAGGACGAGCACGACACCCCAAAGCCCCAAAAGTTACTGGTACGGTACCAGGACGATCCGGCAATGGTAAGTTGTGACGTTGGTTTCACGATTGAACAGTTCACAATTAGGCGATCGTTTAGGCGACCGTTTAGGCGACCGTTACAAATAGGCGATCGTTTAGGCGACGGTTGCCGGTATTAGGAGACTATTTAGGCTAGACTACTGCTTGGATTTAGGATACTGTTTCTAGGATTTAACGGGTTGTTTCTCGAAGAATTATTAATAGGCGATCGCCTAAAAATAGGCGACCGTTTTGGATACTCGCACCGGTTTTAGGAGACTATTTAGGAGACCGTCGACATAAGTCTCGCTTGCAACCATTCAGTCGTGATTCTTAATTGGCTTAGGCACTAATTGCCGGATCGTCCAGGTACTGCTGCGACATTGACCTCCTTATTATGCACCAGATGCATGTCCCAAGAGCAAGCCTGTCCCT